GAAGAATAGGTTTAATACTATATGCAAAACTTAGAAGGAATGAGTGAAAAATTTGGACTCATAAAATCAAGCAAAAATAGTTAGGATAAGGCTAACGATAATGATGTGTTCAAGGCCATTGAATAAGTTGAGGTATGTGATAAAGATGATCATGGTGAACATAGTTGTAATTTTTTGAGTTCTAACAACTTTCCCAAAATTTGATTGTGTTGTTGTGTTGCAGTTTTCACAATGGTCAACTAGTGAAATAAACTTCTTTTGGTACTTAATAACAATCTATTTGGATGATTGCAACTTTTATGCTGGGGGATTTTATGCAGATTGAGAAATTAACTTGATTAGTTGATTCACTTATGATAGGAACTTTCAATAGGTTTTTGAATTATATTCTACTTGTTGAAAATTATTTGTTAGATTTTGCGAACTTTCTTGAAAACATAGGTTCCTTGTTACATTGTTTATTAAAGACTTTTTCTTGGTAGTGTTGATGAACGCTTGCTCCTTGGTTTTATCTCATTGAAGATTTAGTCTTATTGTTTGTTGAAGGTGTTAGGAAAAGAAATCGTGCATAGCTTCAATTGCAGAGGAGTTAACCTAGAAGCAAATATGATGGTCCATAAATTAATTGCAACAAAAGAACAAACATGCAAAAAATATATTACGATTCACTTGTGTTAGTAATATTTACTTATGTCAACAACCGCATAAAGATTAAAATATTTCACTAAGCATCAAGAGATGTACAGTGATAGGTTGCATTTCATATTGAAGTTAAGGAAGAAGAAAAATCACTTTTCTCTTTTTTAGTTTTTTTCTCTAAGTTGAAAGCCCAACACCTCTACTGCTTTATAAAGAAAAAAAAATCATACTGTAGCTGATGATGTTCTTATAATAATGAGTGTGCTTAAGGATGAAGGAGAGTCCTTATAATAAAGGACATAACTCCCGACATTTCTCCGTTGCTAAAATACCTCAATTGTTACAATATTTTGGTTGCTAAATTCCCCCCGTTTGATATGTTGCTTTAATTATTATAGTGTTTGAACTTCTATAGCAACTGAACCATCTTCCCTCTCTTTCTTTTTCTCTGTTGTGATTTGCTTCTTCCTTTCTTTCTTTTTCCCTAGTTTGGCATGGTATGCCAGGCGAAAATCATATATATATTTAATGTTTATTGGAAACTCAAATAACCCCATTTGCAAGCAAGCAAGATCTCACAAATCTGATAAAATTAATTAAATGATTCTCTCCTCTTAAACAACTCAAATCATATCTTATTCTAGATTTATAATAATGAGGATATTACATGCCAGCACTAAATTTAGAAGAAACTTCATTTTAACATTTGCAAACAATCTCTTTAGTGGTTAATGACCAAATACCTATTTGTTTGTTATCCCAAAGAGCCTTTTTAAAATTTCAAAGCCTCGAAATGTGAAGCATAATTCACCAAGCCTGTATTACACCTATTTCAAATACCCACGAGAGACTTCCTCAACAAATGCTGCACGTCAAGATAGATTCATCAATATCTAACATGTTGCCTTTGAATTTTCATTGCTCTGAAATGATTATTCTTCTCTTTCTAAATGTTGCACTAATAAGAGTTGGTATTATGGTAGATTATGCAATACAAGCATAATCGACCTAATCACATCCAAAAGCCTTGTCAACTTGTGTGTTTTTTTAAAGAATCTCTACTGTATCCTAGAAGCTAACTCCTTTTACTTTCCAAATCATTAAGCTTCACCAAAGTTTTTAAATTCAACACTTCTCCACTCCATGTTGCACTTGACAACACATTGAGTTCACTAATTTTGTTTGCCTTCAAGATAACTCAGGTATCCTTACGGTCTATATTAGTATTAACATTACTAGAGAAGTTATATATTACAATACTGAGTGTGCTTAACAATGTTATATTCTCTCTTAGATTTAGTACATATTTGACAACGACCAACGAAATGATCACACCATCTGTTTGAAGTTTACCTTGAGTAGCTGTCACAAAGCTCCTTTGAGCTTGATTTCTCCATCTCCACTGTTATAGATGGAGAGGTTGAAGTTGACTAAGGAGCTTAGAAATTTTCGAAGGACGTCCACTAATTTATACATTAGTGTATAAGTAACTACCTACATAAGATCTTATAAAATTCTAAAGAAAGGTATGATCATCATTGTGTCAAGGATGACTTTCAGGTATGAAATCTTTTATAGTTATTTTGAGCTAGGATGATATTAAAGAAGGAAATAAATTGAAACAGTGAGATATGGGTTAGTTGGAGCTATTGCCATACAGGAAGATGCATTCGATATTAAATATGAAGAATTTTAAGTTTTCGTAACCTTCTATTTTTTATGGATAGACAAAAGAAATGCTACTTATTATGGATGATCTACTCTTGGAGTAGGAAGCACCTTCAGATTTGGACATCCTGCTCTATTTGCTCCTCTATTGGTTTGTTTTTGTTGTGAATTTATTTGTTACTACAACACTTAACAAAGCAAAAACGATCATTGTTGTTTTGCAGTTGTCACAGGGAATCCATCTACAATGAGATAAAAAACTTTAGAAGCTTGGTTCGCAGACCATACCTTCACCTATTTAGGCTAGGGCTAGTATCTTTCTTAGAGGGGTAGCGTGATGCTTGTTTGTTTTATTATAATGAGTTAGTAACCTTTGAAGTTAAGTCCAACAATTGGTTTTCAACAATTAGGGGCCCAAGATGAGGTCAATTGAATATTGAATGAATCAATAATACCACACATGCATGTTGTTGGAGAGTTGAAATCCACACTTCAAAAGGATTAAAATATCATCACAATGGTACGAGCTTGCTACAACATTATGTGAGTAGTTATAAATCTATAAGAAGACTGCGTGATAGTCACATGGGGACTAAACAATGACATTAAACAAGTTGATTGATAACAACTTTGTAAGAAGTGATTGAAAACTATGGATACTTGGGACAAGGCATTTAATCTTTGCACTAGAATGTCCTTTGATATTCATTCCCTGTTATGCATCAATCGATGATATAGGGATGGTTTCTATCACAAGACTCGATTCTTGTGTGCTTATAACATCCATCTATCCCTCTTAAGTCATAAACTTAAAAATGTGATGTTTTTATGTCTTAAATGTGGCTTGCATGGAAGCAATTAAAATAGATGGATAATACATCCCAATGGTACGAAGCCAGGGGAAGGCCTCAATATTCATTATAATAATTAAGCTAGTGATAGAACTCAAATTGCTCGAATACAAGTAAGAGCACTCTGTGAGACTGCTTTGCCTTGGTTGGGGGTTTAGCATGAATAATACTTTGCTCTCAATGCTCTTACTACCGAAGTGCTCACTAGCTAGAATTTGCATGATGGATCAATTCAATGAAAGTTGGCCTTTATAGCTATGGCCATGGGTGTTCTTGGCATGTTGGAGATGTTGATATATTAATTGTGTTTATGCTATTCTTTGACAATTATGCTAAAGAAACCTTTAAGTAATGTAATAATGCTACCTTTAGGCTTTTGGAATATGCTGTAGTCCTCCTTGATCCATTTGATGTAAAGTATGTTTTACCATTTTTTAAAGAGTTGGTTAAAAAGGTCTATGGTCGGGGTATCCCTTTACTCAAATCATCATCATGATGTGTCACATGAACTCCAAGATTCATGTCTTGCTAAAACATTAATGTATGTGATGAAATGATGTGCGAAAGACACAAAGTACGCTATGCTTTAGATCTGAATAACACTATTTTGATGAATTAGATTTTGACCGATTAAGGTCGATCCAAATTGATACTCAATTCAGAGACCCCTTCACCACTAGGTCTTTGTTCCCTAACCAATGGATTCTGAGGACCATTTTCTTAGTGATGGTAGCTAAGGATGGTTATGATTGGAGGATCGTCCATTTGATGAGGCTATGGTTGAATGACAGTTGCAATACTAATGTGTCATGAGGCAATTATGGGTTGTTATCATCGCTATTTTAGTGCCATGTTGGGGTAATCTAATAAGGCCAAAGGGCGCAGTTTATCCTATCAATAAATGTTAGTAAAAATATGTACCTCAAATTTTCATTGACAACATTAGGCTTCTTGGAGAATAATTATTGCTGACTGACTAGTTCCCTTTATCAGCTAAGTCATTTTTGGGCTGCATGAATGCTCAGTGCTATTTTATTGGATAGAAGTTCTAGGGATACAGTGCATGTTCTGCTTGGTGGAGTAGATGGCTTGATGTTGGGTCAAGTCCACCCGGGTTGAACTTAGCTTAGCTCAGCTCAATTAGGTCAAGTATACCAATTATTGGATAGCTCAAGGCACCTCGAGACTACCACAGGCCTGAGCCTTCCTACTTGAGATTTGTGCATCTTTGAATCAGAATCTTTTAGGACATATCACTTTTAAATTCTTTAGCTATCTAAACTACTATGAAATGAAATGTCATTTATATTTGTAGATTTAGTATATGTTTGTTGAGGGGAATAATATGCAACTAATGATAGATAATAATAACAAAATTGCATGAAACTAAAGGGCTGTTTGGCAACAAGTAGTATTTAACTTTAGTGGGATTTAGTAAATCCTATAAATCCGGATTTAGTAAATCCCGAGGGTATTAAATCCTAAAAACTATTTGGTATGACATATGTTAAATTCTGAGAATTATATGATTAGTGGTAAGATTAGGAGAAAATTTATTTTGAGATTGTATTTAAATAGCATGTATAATATATATAATTATATAAATTAAATCAAGTGGTCTATGCATGCACTGAGAGTACAAGATGATCTACCAATATGGTGAGGGAGATAATATTGCTATGAAACAACTAGGAAGAAAGGATACACCAAAGGCAACATGAATATGATTTATTTGAAAAAAGAACAATTTATGCAAACTAAAATAAACTGAAATTGTAGTTATACATACTATGAAAACCAAAGAATAATTATACCTTGCTCCGGTTATACACAATTTTGCAGATGATGCATGGGGATATCTGGGTGATTCCTAATTCAAATGGTTTTCCCAGAAGTATAAAACTAGTTCTTCAATTCCAACAACAACCCCTCACCCCGATCTCCGAGTTGGGTGGATCATCAGGACACCAGCACAGCCACTCCATACCAAACTTCAAAGGTCTCAGAGTTCTATTAGCAGATGATGATGATGTCAACAGAGCTGTTACAAGAAAGCTTCTTGAGAAGCTTGGTTGCAATGTCACATCTGTTTCTTCTGGAATCCAGTGCATCTCTTCTCTCAGCAACTCTGATACTCTCTACCAGCTTGTGATTCTTGATCTTCACATGCCATTGATGAATGGATTTGAAGTCGCCATGAGGATCCGGAAGCTGAGAAGCCGGTCTTGGCCGGCAATCGTGGCTCTGACGGCGAGTGCGGAGGAACATGTGTGGCAGCGATGCTTGCAGGCCGGTATGAATGGTTTGATCAGGAAACCAATTATGCTGCAACCCATGGGAGATGAGCTATATAGAGTCCTTCACAATACTTAGAACAGGGATGATATACAATTATATCAGATTTTGGTTAATGCACATGTATACAGATTTCTGGTTAGTGATTCATTCATGTTGGCAGATCTCACTTGGAAAGCATTGAATGGGGATAATTATTCCATTTATTAATTAGTTTTGATTATAAATTCTAGTAAGAGTTCATCTGGATCTGGTTGCTTGTAGATAGGAAACATATTTTATAAAATGATGATTTTCTTTTCTCCTGTTTTGATTAAAATTCTCATATTCTTGGGACTTTCAGATGATCTTTGAAGCTCCAAAATTTTCTCAGCTGCTAGGCTGGTATCCAGTGAAGCTTGTAAGCTCTTGTTGGATTTGCCCCATTTGTGCTTATGACACAATAGAAACAAAATTTAATGGGGGAGATATTGCAACTTTTATAGGATTATGAGGATGAAGGTTTCATTTGGAAGATTTCATGGTGCCTTTAGATTTGTATGGTAGTCGAGTCAAACAGACTAGTGATCAAACTCTTTCTTATATGCAAAATATTTCTAATTTTTTCTTTTTTATCTGTGGTCTTATTTTACTTTCCATTATTTATCTATTTATTTATTTTTACTAAATTGAATTGAGCTGGTTCAAATTTATAAAATTATTTCGTAACTTTCAAAATTAAAATTGGGACCATCTGAACTCCGATTTCGATGAACTTATATCAAATTGAACGTCTCAAAAATATGAACCCATCGTCACCAAATTCGACTCAATCCGAGCCCAAATGGGTCCAGACCAAGGGCCTAAGGCAATGTTGGAAGGTTCGAACCACAATTTGTATTACCAAACGGTTTCTAAACGTGACATGCTTATAATCGAATCAAGCGGCTCGATGAGATGAATCCAATGATCCCAAGATCACGAAATTCCGACATCATTAAGACCTTCAAATGTCTGGTGAACAGCCGTCCATCTAAATCACTCTCTATTTACCCTTGAATCTTTTTTTTTCTATTGTGTCATATTCAAAGTTAAATTCTCATTTAAATCTAATAAAGAAAGGTAATTTCTAATATTTTCTAACCAAGTCGTTTTTAGGTCTACCTCTAAATTTTTTGACACAAGTCAAATCTAATATATCTACTTTCCTAACAGGGTCATCAGAAGACAGGCATTTTATGTGTCCAAATCATCTAAGGCAAAATCTCTAATCTTATCTAAGGCGACTATCACTAATCTTATTTAAGGCGTCATTTTATCAAATTGTCATGTCAAGTTCTGGATGAGAAAAACGAAGGATTGCGTTAGATAGTATACAACTATCTTAAAATTTATCGAATAATCATACATGATTCCTTTAATTATTGCCGAGTGATAAAATTTTAAAAAGAAGCTTCCTTTCTTTTTAAATTTATATGCTAAATAAGCTTATATATGTTAAGAAATGTACCGGTCAATAGGAGATTTCTAAAAACACTAAAAATCTCTCGGAAATCTGATGTTGACAGTACCTTCAATAATAATAAATGAATCAACCTAAAAAAAAAAAATTAGTTAATGATTTCGAGGAGCTGAAGACATCTACACCATTGATATAATCTTAAGCTTCTAACAAGATGATATCATTTTGGTCTGTTCCTACTAAACTTTTTTTTTTTATTATATATTTTTTTATTTTTTTTAAATTTATTTATTTATTTATTATTATTATTATTATTATTTATGTTCCTCCTAAACTATTAATTAAGATATTTTGAATTTAAAATTTGTATGTATAATGTATATATGAATTTATTTAATTATTTTTTATTTGGGAAATGGCTCAAATATCTTAAATAATAATAATAATGCTTGACGTACAAATTATTAAACATTTCTTATTGAAAAAAAAAAAAAATCCTGCTGCCAGAGCTACATAGCAAGCCAATGTATTAATGCAGCATTATAGATAAGCGTATCAATCTAATAAATAAAGAAATTTTTGTACAGTGATGCACTGCTAAACCATTATTATGTAATATTTTTAATACTTGATGAAAAAAGAGAGTAAAATAACAGATAATGTAAGAGGAGAGAGAGCGTGTTTAAAATATTTATTGTTATTTGAATACGTGTAAAATAAATATATACTATTAATTTTTATTTTATTTTAAATAAATGAATGTACCGTAAAATTTAATGATGATGGTAATAGCTAGTGGTCGACGAGTGATAGAGATAGCAATCACCATTTGCAAAAATAGTGGCGTCGTAGCCAACGAAAGGCAAAAGTGCTAATGACAATATAGGTTGTATCGAGCAACGATCGAGACCACTTGTGGCCTCTAGTAGTAGTATATGGATGCCCTCCGAGGTTATGATAAAAAAGTCGCAAAATTTATAATATATTTAAAAATTGATTAAATTTAACGATTTCTAAATATATCAAAATTAAATGAAGTTATTACAATACTTTAAAATTTCTCTTTTTTTTTTTTTGCTTTAATCGAACACCATTATTTTTATAATCCCTACCATAAAAAAATTTTTACACCCCTTTTATTTCAAACTAAATTACCCCTAAATGGAAGCAATTGTTAGTAGGATTGTTAATCACTTGTGCTTGCTTTCTTATAGATAAGAAGGATTAGTAGTTCATAATTTTTAGTTTTTATATTAAAAATCTGATTTGAAGAATAGTAAAAAAACTGTCACAAACGAAGCCTAAGAATTCAACAGATTTCACATAAAAAATCTGTTATGTAAATAGTGAAATAAATAGAAGAAATACAAGTGAGAAAATGATTAAAAGATTGTTGCTCATTGAGTTATTCAATTGCAGACAAGCATCTGATGAGATAATAAATGAGGAAAAAAGTTGCGATAAATGAAGCCACAATTGCTGCCATATGACGGTTTGATTTGCTCTGAAACACCTGACACAAAATAATAAGTGTAATCAGTTGCGCGATTTTTTTATTTTTTTTGGAAATTTAGGTCATTTAAGGCAAACTCACGCACACAACGCATATACAAAGACTCGAACCCAAAACCTCTTAGTTGGAAGCATAAGCTTTCAACCAACAAGCCAAGGTGAGCTGTGTAGTTGCGCGAATCATAAAAACTAAAGAACAGAAAAGTACAAGACCAGAGATCTGCTAAAAGTATTGACACATTCACTGCTTCCAATCCTAATAAACCTATGCTCTGTTCTATGTTGAATATTGGTGGAGATAATGATCTGTTCTCCTATTTGGGTATTCCTGTTGCTTCCAGACGCTTGAAGATTTCTGATTTTCAGTCTCTTAAGGATAAAAATTTCCCTTCTCCTTGAGGGTTGGAAGGCCAAGTGTCTATCCCTTAGCAACAGACTTCAACTCATTAAATTTACTATAATGAAAATGTTAGACTGGCACCGAGTGGACCGGTCCCACTACAACCGGCCCCTAGTGGGCCTGTCTCAGTTTACTCCAGGAAGGGACGGCGACAAAGAAAGAGGGAGGGGGTTGGGGTCCACTAAGAGTCAAATTCAAATCCCTTTGAGGGAAAGAAGGGGGCGGCAAGGGCTGAATAGTAATTTTGGTTTGATTAATTAGTGATATGCTTTAAGTAAAAGGGAATTAGGGCTAGATTATGCATGATTTGAGTTGTTCTTTTGGAGTCTTTCTTGACGTCTTGGGCTCTAGATCTATCATCTAGGGATTGGGAGAGACGATCCTCCTCTCGAATTGGGAATCAATTGCTTCTTACTTGGTATTTGTTTTGCTTTGATTCTACTATTACAATCTATCATTTTTTGGATTGATTTCATCTAGATTTTTGTGTTATTCTCGCTGTTTTGATCAATTATTACTAGGGTTGCTTGCGAACTCAAATATTTCCTCTTGGATTACTTATGAACTCAAGTATTTCCTATCAGAAAATCATTGCCTATTAGATTAGGGGTTACATTTTACAAAAAAATCTGTATTAAATACCTTAATAAAGTATGCTCCTGATTTCTTTATCATGATGATGTTAATGTCAAGAAGCTTCATATGGTGTCATGGAGTAAAAGGAGTAAACCGCTCAAATTTGATGGTTTTGGTGTCCCTGCTCTTACTGACCTCCAATTTGTTTTAACACAGAACTCTTGTATTTTGTGTAGCACAACTGCTGAAATCGCTTCAAATCTGTTTTTTTAATGTAATTTTTCATTTGCCTTATTGAGAAGGATTCTTCCTGCCTTCTCCAGTTTTCTGTTGCAGCATAACTTTTGTTAGGCATTTGACTATATAGATGAATGTTTTAATCACAACTCAGAGGTGGTATATGCGCACAATCTCTTCTAGTCTTCTATCATCTATTTTACATGGCAAGAACGAAATGCTAAATTATTCAGGCAATCTTTGGATACAGTTACAGTTTATTATAAGATCTTGAGAGCTTTATATTTGATATTCCGAGGATGGAGAAGTTACATAGAAATCAAAATTTTTATTGGGTAGCATTTTGGGGCTCTGAAATCTTGCTCTTTTTCAGGCTGGATTTTTCTAGATGTTTCGGTTTTTGTGGGACAATGAAGTTTGGCTCCTCACCAATCCTGGATGGCCACTACACTGCATTTGTTTTTCTTACAACTCCTGTTATGTCTTATTTTCATCTCTTAGAGTTGTAACTTTTGGCTTCTTTTGTAATTATTCATTATAATAATTAATAATAAAATGGGCTAGTCCCTTAATTTTCACAACAACAAAAAAAAAAGAGAGAAAAATACAATGCTGGACCCAATTATTAAATGTCAAATACCTTCTTGAAACGATCCAGGTTTCCATGAAGGGTTCCTCTGGAAGCATCCATGCTGTGGCCCTATATAAAGAAGAAAAAAAATTCACTTAATGAATAATACACTGTATATATCATTAGTTTTTTTCTTGTCTCTTTGCTTTGGGTAGCGAGACTTGTGATTTGTATGATACCTACCATTTTATCCAATAGCTTATTATGAGTCTCCATCTCTTCATGTATGTCCCCAGTCAGCTATCAGAAGTCAAAATTAGCAACAAATCATTGTTAATCAAAACTGGAACATCACAGGAAAGCTGTTGAAATTGAAAGAAAGTAGAAGAGACATGTGGACCAAGTTCAATACACTTTCTAGTTAGGTGAAGCCCATATTTCATTTCAAAAAATTTCATTTACTCATTGGAATGAAGGAAGATACGAAATGAGCATATACTTGAAAAGGTTGGAGTAGTTCCAATGAAAGATAAGATTAGAGAGAGTCATCTTAGATGGTTTGGTCACATTAAATGGAGGCCTTCCAATGACCCGGTTAGAAAAGTTGAAGTATTAGATTTGACTTATGTTAAGAAAGGTAGGAGCATACCTAAAAAGACTTGGTTAGAAAATATTAGAAATGATTTTTTTTTTATTAGATTTAAATGAGAATTTGACTTTTAACAGAACACAATGGCGAAAAAGGATTCATGTAGCCGACCCCATATAGTGGGACAAAGGCTTGATGTTGTTGTTGTTGATTGTTGTATTGGAAGGAAGGAATTAAAGGATTATAGAATGATTGAATGAAAATAGACAAACATATCATTAAAGGTAGATTTATGAAGCTTCACTTTTTTTTGTTTCTATTAATTCTGCTTATTATTTGAGATACAGCATAAAGCAGTCATACAAGAGGAAATAATGAGAGAAAATGTAGGAGAAATAATGGCTTAATTATGCAGAACATAGTGAAAGAGATTTTTCCTTATGTTGAGGAGAACAAGAGAACCCCTACTCAATAAGCCGGCTGGCCAAGCAATTCTTTGAGTAGCCCAATAATATATTTAAATTTAAATGTTATATATCCATGTATAGAAGGTTCATTGTGAGCTAGTTTTAATATTAATATTTCCATCATTATATATAATACATCCAAAATAAATTAAAAAAATAATGTTACTTCGCATACATAGTCCATAATACTAACTATATCCTCCCCATATGAAACCTTCAAATCTTGATGATTACCGACAAAATTCAAAGATTTTTTTGGAGCCTTTAACATAAATGTGTATGAGTAATGCTAAAAAGAGAAATTTAAAACTGTAAAGTCGAATCAAATTTAGAAGTGAGAAAATGGTGAATTATTTTAAAAAATTGCTAAGGAAACTCCAGAACAAATGAGAAACAAATCAGATAGTAAGCAAAGAGTTTTTTTCAGAATAATAAAAATAATACTATTATGCTATACAATAAAAATAAGGAAAGTTAAAATTTTGCATAAATAGTAGCAAGCAAAGCACTAGGAACAAGTATAAAATTTTATATTATAGATCACATATTAAGGAAAGGTGAAAGTAGTTAACATAAGTTAGCTAAGATTAAAAAATATAGATAATTTGATCAATCTAAGTTTATTAAGAGGAGGATTAAAAAGTTCAACCACCTTGAATTAATAAACAAAAGAATTGTGATATTTATGATCACTTGTAGAGTAAAATGAACAAGAGCGCTAAGATTGAAACATAAAAAAATATATATAATTTCAACTACAATAAGACGTGTGGTTGATATCATAATCTTAGGATTAAGGAGTGAGAAAATTTAAGAGGCCAATAAAGATGATTATATAAAAAAAATATGACAAAAGTGGCAATATCTTCATGTGGCTTTGGAGATGCACAATGATGGGCCACAGAATTTACGAGAAGCTAGGATAAGTGATAGAGGATCAGAAGAAAAATGACAAGGACAAAAGGAAATAAAAGTAGTCAACACCTCATCTAGCCATTTAGCAATAAAAAAATGAAAATATTCCTTATGCTGACAACAAATAATTAGAATAAAATTAATGATGATGTTGACTAAAAATGTGCAATTATTTTACTAAATGTTGTTGTATTCAGAGTTGTGCATAACTGGAAGAAATAAATGTAAGTCCGTATCCATAGTAGAAGTTTATTAGGATGGGGCCAAGCATGCCGGCAAGGCCAAACATATTTGGAGGTTAGTAGTCAAGAAAAAACAAAAAAGATTGTGTATAAGAATTATGTATTGTTTATCTACATTGGCCACATATTATCCGATCAGAAAAGTTCTAGTACAACAACAACAACATCAAACCATTATCCCACTATGTGGGGTTGGCTACAAGAATCCTTTTTCTCCATTATATCCTGTTAAGAGTCAAATTCTTATTTAAATCTAATAAGGAAATGTCATTTATATTATTTTCTAACCAAGTTTTTTTAGGTCTACCTCTACCTTTCTTAACATAAGTCAAATCTAATATATCTACTTTCCTAACATGGTCATTAGAAGGTTGCCATTTTATTTGACCAAACCATCTAAGGCGACTCACTCTAATCTTATCCTCCATTGGAGCTACTCCAACCTTTTCACGTATATGTTCATTTCGTATCATATCTCTGAGAGTAAAACTACTCATCCACCTGAGCATCCTCTTCTCTACAACACTTAACTTAATATTATGCATCTCTTTTAATAGCCAACATTCTGCACCACAAAGCATTGCAGGTTTCACCACTATCTTATAGAATTTTCCTTTAAGTTTAAGGGGGAAGTGGAGGAATGCAGAATTGAATTCTACTAATAATATCACACAACAAGCCCGATGCATTCATCCACTTCAACCTCCAACTTGAATTCTACTAATAATATCCCCAACTATTTCACCATCACTCTGAATAATAGACCAAGATATATAAAGCGTGTACTCTTATTAATGACTTGATCGCCCAAAGCCACAATCCTCCCACAACGTCTATTATTACTAAAATTACACTCCATATATTTAATTTTAGATCCACTCAAACGAAAGAGTTTAGAATCTAAGGTTGACCTCCATAATTCAAGTTTACCTTCAACTCCCTATCTAGTTTTATCAACAAGTATATCATTAGCAAAAAACATACACCAGGGTGCAACCTCTTGCAAAAATCTAGTGAGAACATCCATGACTAAAGCAAAAGGATATGGGCTTAAGGTTGATCCTTGATGTAATCCAACTGAAATAGGAAAATACTTGGTCCAACTACCCTTTGTTTGAACACAAGTAACAGCTCATGCATACATATCCTTAATGACTTGAATATAAGCATTATTAACCCCTTTCTTTTCATCAGAAAAGTTTTGGTGAAATATAAAAATTCTAATGCAGGACAAGCATGGGATGCAATCTGAACACAGCATCGCCAATAAACCAAAACAAGAGATAGAATAGGAAAAAAAACATCAGAGAGAATATCTTTAATTAAAAAGATATATTATAGAATAATGACAATGTTTAATATTTATAAACTTTCAATATGATAACATCTCTAAGATAACATCTATTACCATTAAGGGGTCGGATGTGTCAATTAAAGTACAGTTAGGTTACAACAAGTCCACAACGTGCAATGTTGGAACATGCCCAACAAAAAAAAAGGTCAAAATAAAATATGAAAGAAACTATTCATAAAATTTGAACATAAAACCGTCTTTTATTTTAGGTCTATATATTTTCCAGATAAATTATATGAGCATAAATTAGCACCAGATATTTTTTCAAAGGAACAATTGTATTACTTACTGCCTTGAGAATATTAACTCTATCCTGTAGCCCATCAATAGCTATGTTATTGTCATGCTCATCAATATCATGATTATTGTATAAGGCACGTACTCCTCCCTCTTCAATGCCATCAAACAGAGCAGCTCTAATGCTGCGGCGATCTCTGCAATCATTTGCATTGTGATTGATAGAACAAATATGTACATGAAAGAATAAAAATAAGCAAATGCGAAACATAGCATGCAAATACTAAATTTGTGCGAGGTCTAAAATCCCAATAAATTAACCTTTGTAACTGACTAGTTACATGTAATTAACCTTTGCAAAAGGCTAGCTACATGTTAACGATCAAAAGAATACAAAGTATCATATAACCAGCACAAATTGGGTTGACATACATCTCCTAATTTGAATTTTAAATAATATGAATGAAGTTGCATTCTAGTTTTGATGTTAAATGAGCACTTCTTAAACATAATTCATGCTCCAAGCAGAAAGAATCTAACCTCATGTTAAAAAGAACTTATCATTTCATTTCCATGATATTCTCTGCTAAAATTTGAAACTTCGCCTGATGAATGTACTTCACCATCCTTTCCTCCTTTAAAACACGGTTTACACTGATATATATGATTGTGGAATCACAAATTCATATAGCAAGATGAAGAGAACATCAAAAAATGGTAGACGACAGACCAAAGCTAGTCTTAATATCACTTCAACCATAAAACCAGTCCCTCCATCTTACCCAACACACTCACATGCAAGTGCCTATCTACTCATGCCACGCGTCATGTATAGTTTGTGATGGATCATTATCAATATTGTACTTATATTTTTACCTTTTATTGTCTCTCCATAACATTTCAAATTCTATAAATAAAAAGGTTAGAAGGCACATTTTGGGTCTTTTCTTTTTACTCCCCGGATCTTTGGACAATTCACGATTTCTTATTTTATGAGTATACTTTGCACTGCATTTCTCTCTCTCACTCTCCATACTCACCCAATTATCTCTAGATTCTCTAAATCTTTTCAAGAAAATTGCTTGCTAGTAAAGTCGGTTGTCATCCATAGACAAATTTGGATAGGACAAGATTTGCTTTCTTGATTTCATTTTACCTTCTTTCTTTTTTCCTTAGCTTATCATCTTGATTTCTTGATAACTATGAATTAAGTTCCAATATTTTATTTGATTCACCCTTAGAATCAAAATCACCTTATAAATCTAGCCCTAATATTATGAAAGCCCCTGATAACCCACATAAGGAAAACATATACTAGTCTAGACTAAGAAAATTTTCCAACATGATTAAAAGGATGTTCAATGCAATGATTTGAATTGCTGATTTGATGGATAGCCCAAGCGCATAAGACAAGTGCTTCCACAACTATCAGATCCGAGTATCAAAAGATATTCTCATTTAGTGCACTGCGCTGCATATGCTTTAAGTTTCAAACTAAATAAATCATCAAGTATCACAGATGCCAACAGATAAGCAACTTACATAGCATACTAATAATTAACTAGGTATCGTATTATTATTATTATTATTTTTTTTTTAACTAGGTATCGTATTATAATTAAACACATTGTATACAAATATCCTAAGGGTTCATTTAGATAAAATAAAATGTTTTATTAAATGATGATTTTACTTTCAATCATTTTGAGTGTGAAAATAAAATAATTCAAACAAATGATGGAATCTAGAAAATTTATCACTCTTCAAACCATATTTTCTAATTCAAGCAATCAAATAAGCCTTAAAGTAGATAACTTCTAAACTTGGCAACTATCAAAAACTCATGAATTCAAACATGACAGAGCTTCTTCACTCTCTCATCTATAACCAACATAATTATGCATTCCATGATGTGCAATCAATCGATTGTAATTTTCCATTAAGTGACATATGTTCTCTTTCTAAAAGCGGTAGCGGTATTGTTCTTACTTCATCCCCTACTTTGTGGAAGGAAAGGTGCGGAGCAAGGAGCAGCGAATGCCATTTTCATTTCAGGAAAGCACTCATTCTCACTGTGTTCGAGCTAATAGAATGACCTTTCTCTAAATTCCCTCTTCGTTTGTTTTTGGTCGCTCCATCACTCACTCCGCTATAAGAATCTTGAAGGCAGTTACCTACTTGCACAACTATCAGATCCGAGTATCAAAAGATATTCTCATTTAGTGCACTGCGCTGCATATGCTTTAAGTTTCAAACTAAATAAATCATCAAGTATCACAGATGCCAACAGATGAGCAACTTACATAGCATACTAATAATTAACTAGGTATCGTATGATAATTAAACACATTGTATACAAATATCCTAAGGGTTCATTTAGATAAAATAAAATATTTTATTAAATGATGATTTTACTTTCAATCATTTTGAGTGTGAAAATAAAATAATTCAAACAAATGATGGAATCTAGAAAATTTATCACTCTTCAAACCATATTTCCTAAATTTAAGCAATCAAATAAGCCTTAAAGTAGATAACTTCTAAACTTGGCAACTATCAAAAACTCATGAATTCAAACATGACAGAGCTTCTTCACTCTCTCATCTATAACCAACATAATTATGCATTCCATGATGTGCAATCAATCGATTGTAATTTTCCATTAATAAATGGCATGATCATCCTATGCCAGAAGAAAATTCAAGAAACCAGTAACTATAACATCATATGATCCCTTGTTATGAATTGTAGATTGAAATAATATATAATCATAACTGAAGGCTGGACTATCTATTAACCCAAAGAAAATGCTACCATATCATTAAAGCTCGCGACTAAAACAATATGTGCGATATAAATTTCAATTTCCAGTCAAAAGGGAAGTTCTGTTTTTGGGTGAAAAATGATTTGCCCTCAAAGGTTCCATACACCACAAGAAAAGCTATATAACGGTCATAAAAGTCACGCAATTCAAAAAACACGAAAAAAAAAAACCCAAAATGTTAGTATATATCCAAGTTTTAAACATGGAAATCTAATCATGCAATCAAATCTAAAACCGATGAAAGAACAGAGCAAAAAATAAAATAAACCTTCGTGAATTCATGGTTGATTTGGAATATTGGAGAGGTTTTTCGTGCACATGTCAAATTCCTCGATTTCTAACGCATCAAGAAGAAGAATGAATACGCTCTCCTGCATATAAAAGATTTACAAAGTTATTCAACAAATAACTCCCGGTAACGCTGCAGTATTCATAGCATTTAATCCTCGGAAGAAAGTGATGATATAAAACGAAATTTGGCAAAAAAAATTCTCATTTTTTCCAAAAATAAAAAACACATCCAAGAACAAATAAGGTGCATAATTTGGAAATTGTTACAACTCCGGTGCTTTAAACAGAAAATAGTCATCCTGGCATAAGCAATTGAATAAATACAAGAAGAACTCAAATTTTTTCACAGTTCTGATGGACTAATAGAAACGAGAGAGAGAGAGAGAGAGAGAGAGCACCCTTCTAAAGGGCAAATTATTGGGTCAGGTGACCGAAGCCATCTCTCCGTTCGGTCGCCAATAAAAATGCGCCATCTGTCAGTCGTTTTTTTAATTTAATATTAACGTAGCCTTTAGTCGACGATTCGAGAGTTTTGGGAGGGGGGAGACTGACGCTGTAACTCTCCCGCGTGCTGATGACGCGGCGGCTCGGCTGGCTCCGGTTTTTAAAGTTTTGGAATTTTTTTTTATTTGGTCTGCGAAGTGGGGTCCACTTGATACATCCAAATATTTTTTGAATTTGGACTTTAGTTCAAATTTTAATTTAAAATAAAATAAAATAGTTTAATCTTTAATTCAAAATAAAATAAATTTATTATTATCAATTATGCTATGATTATAAGAAAAATTATGTATTGATGAATTAAATTAAAGTAATCATAATTTTAAATTACTTATGGTATACTTTATACATTAATAATAATTATAATATTTTAATTAATTAAATAAGAATTTAATGAAGTTCATTCGCTATAAATTATTTTTACAAGATGATTTAAAGGGGGAATAAAGTATCGAGAAGCTATCATAAGTTCAACAAAAGCACATTAGCCTTCAAAATTTTTTATAAAATCATTATATTATAGAAGGATTTAAAGAATTTATGGATCTTAAATCATGCACATTTTCTAATTATGCTCATTTCGACTAAACAGTGGACTTAAATTTTATGAAATTTCAATTTTATTTTTTAATCAAGCACTGAAATGGGACCACCTCAAAAAAAAAAAAAACATGAACATAATAATATATAATATTACAAAGAACATAGAAGTTAAATCATAATCACTAAATTTGCTTATTTGCTAAATTTATTATATAAATATCAATATTATAGCATCTAGCACAACTTATTAAGGGTATATCTCTTGAAATGTAATGTTAGGTCTTAAAGAATGCAAGGAATGCAAACGCAATTTTACTTTCCAATTTCGTATTAAATGCTAGGTTTTAAGTGATAATAATATTATATAATGAAACTCATAGATCAGGGCCTTCACATGAAATTTCTCATTTAATATTTGAAGCTATGAAGTTCATAATAAATACAAAACAGGGAATCAAAATATATTTACACAAAGTTAGCAGCAAAAACAGAGATTAACTGCCATTCATGACTGGCTTCATTTTGGACAACTTTTTTACCGCTTTCTAAAGTGATATTCCAATATAAAATTTTTAATTTTTTATTAAAAAACTATTTTAAGTAGGAAGAAAGCCATCCCAAATCAAGCCTAAGACTTTATTTGGTATATATTTCTTACTATTTTCTAAAGCAACTTTTTAATACAAAAAAAATTATATTTTAAAAAAATTTTGTACTAAAAAACTGCTTAGAAAAATAGTAAGAAAATTATCCGAAATGAAACTTTGGGGCAGCTTTCTAATTATGTACGAAAGTAATTTTTTAATACAAAAATTTTATAAACTAATAAAAAATATTTAGTAAAAAAAAATTATTAAAAAATTACTTTTAAAAATAGTAAAAAAGTTAACCCAAACGAGGAAGCTTTCTGATTGTTTATGAAGTAATTTTTTAGTACAAAAATTTCATCTATTAATAATTTTTGTATTAGAAAATTGCTTTAAAAAGCAATACGAAAGTCCTCTCAAACGAAGCCTAAGTTCCAATTCCACAAAATTAAAAGGCTGCATAAACTTTTGTTTTTTGTTTTTAACTTCTGAGCCCATTAAAAGCAAACTCACGCACAACACATGCATAAGCTTCAAATCCAAAACCTCAACTAACAGATCAAGATGAGATGCAAAGACTGTATGAACTGCAATCACTAAGACATAAAACAAAGTTACCATAATTACAATATAATAGGCATTACTGAAGCAATTTCTGAAGCATAGTCAAGTCATAATTTAGGTGTTGATGTAACACATCGTCTGGGCCTGGAGAAAGTAAGAATCCTTATATTTTCTGCCACTTCCTATATGTATTCCATTTCGAATCCAATCTTCTCTATGGATCCATGCATCACGACTGAAATCAAGGATGGCAAGTATCTGCCAGAAAAAAGAAGTATAAATAAACATAATGCTTTGAAGGAATACTGATTTCTGCAAAAATAAATCATGAAGCAAATCAAATTAAAACATTTCTCTTCAGGTAGGAAAATGTTAAGGAACTGGCACTCTGAAACAGAAGTTAAAATTCAATAGAAATCTGTCTAGTAAATTCTAGGAGAGTTTATTCTGTGCGGACACCAGACAGTTTACTGTCCAAAGGCGAATCAAATGCAACCACGTCATCCAGTACCGAGCAGTATCGAGCCGCCGTACCGAGTAGGGGGTGACATGACGTATTTTCATTGGCCTCTGGACGGCATTCGGCATCCGCACAAAATAATTCATCAAATTGTGGAGCCTTATTTTTATCCTACAAAGAAAATACGGTACACAAAAATTGATAGGCTATGCTGGAATTATGTAGTTTTTTTTTTGCTATCAAGCAATCGATCTGACAAAAAAGAATTTTGAAGGTAAGGTATGAGCAACTAATTCATAAGGGAGGCGCTTTACTTACAGTGCCACCTTTCCATGAGACAAATGATGGATCACTTCTTGATTGCAATACCTACACACCATAAAACATTATTTTTAACCTTTTGCATTCTCATACAATCTTAAAAAAGGTAAAAATTAAGGATAGGGATTTGGAAAGATCAAACTATAGTGCCATTCATAGGCTTCATGAAAAGATTTTTCATATAACATTAAAGATTAAGGAAGTACCATGAGAAATTATTTTTATGCACATTGCAGGAATAATGTATGACAAAGATAGGTTAAAATTATTAAAGATACATATGATAGAGCATTAACTAGTTTTAAAAAATAATTGTGGAGAAACAAAAAAAAAATCTCTAATAACAGAAATTATATTAAGGATCAATATTAAGAAATAATTTTTCAAATTTGATTATGGAGATGAGTGGAAATGATATTTATTGAAGCTAATGTGCCTCAGGGTGTGCTATTGGTAGATCTCTTGATTTTAATCAACGAGATATCTATTGGTACAAGTGAAATTTTTAAAATAATAGAAAGGTAGTTATGAAAATAAGTGACTTATGATCAATAAAATGTGTTAGATTTAAAAAATTGAAGAGGGAAAAAATTAAATTTTATTGCACGAAGTTATCCCTATTTATAAATCTATATCAAATATCTTATTAAGGAAAAAAATAATTATGAAATAATATATAATTGCCCTAATATAATCCTTCCTAAATCAGACACTCAAATCTAGAAAAAGATTGGCGTGATCCAAGTGAGCCTCCCACAGATCCCCATGTTAGCCATAGGATTAAGGGCCCAAGGGACTGCTAGGATTTAACACTCTCCATCAAGCCGAAAAATATTGATATGTCATTCCCAACTTGGTAATTAGTCCAAGAAAGTTAAAGTTATCAAGTTCCTTTGTAAGAATATCTGCAAGCTGATCTTTTGATGAGACATGATAAATACAAATAAGTCCACTGTCCAATTTCTTCTTTATGAAATGTATGTCTGCTTTTATGTATTTGATTTTGTCATGCTGAGTTGGATTGTGAACTATGTTGATTACTGAATTATTATCATGGTGTAGCTTCATGGGTCCTTGTCACTTGATTCTTAGGTCTTCTAGAATCATCATGATCAATAATAACTCATAATTCACACATACTTAAGTTCATAGCTCTGAACTCTGCCTCTGCATTAGACCTTACCACCACATTATGTTTCTTTATCCTTCAAGTAACTAGGTTTCCTCCAAGGAATGTGCAGTATCCTGATGTAGATCGTCTATCTACTGATGATCCTGCATAATATGCATCAGTATAAGCTTCTCGGATTACTCCACATTCTCTTCTAAAGAGAATCCCCTTTCTTGGATTCCCCTTGAGATAGTGTAGTATTATATCTACTGCTTGCATGTGAGTCTGCTTTGGTTTCTATATGAACTAACTGACCATGCTTACAACAAAGGATATATATGGTCTAGAGTAAGAAAGTTAGATCAATTTTCCTACAAGTCTCTGATAAGCTCCCTTATCTATGTCTGTATCCTCTTAAGCTTCTACCAATTTGAGATTTGATTCTACCGGTGTAAGTGCCAGTTTAAAAGTTAGTTTACATGTTTCTTTAAGAAGATCAGTAATATATTTCTGTTGTGAAATGAAGATTCATCTGCTGGAGTGGGTCACTTTAATTCCTATGAAATATTTTAATCTACCATGTTTTTTATCTCAAATTCCTTGGCAAGGCATTTCCTTAGAATCATTTTCATCATTCTCAGTCAAAATGATATCATCCACATTTAGTAATAAACTGTAACTCCCCCTGAGTCTGAGCTTGAAGAATAGTGTGTGATCCTCTTGGCTCTGTCGATATCCATTGAGTGGCATGACCTATGAGAATCTTCCAAACCAAGCTCTAGGTGACTACTTTAACCTATATAGAGCCTTCTTTAACCTACACACTTTGTCACCCCTAGAATTCTCCTTGAATGCTGGTGGAATCTTCATAAATATTTCTTCTTCCAAGTCCCCATATAGGAAAGCATTTTTAACATCTAATTGTTCCAAATGTCAGTTATAATTATCTACTAGGGAGAGTGAGATCCTAACGGTGTTCATTTCAACTAAAGATGCAAAAGTTTCCTGGTAGTTAATATCGTACGTCTGAGTGTACTCATTTGCTACCAATTTTTCCTTATACCTTTCCGGTGTACCATCAACTTTATATTTGACAGATAATATCCATTTACAGTCAACTAGCCTTTTTTCAACTGATAGGTCAGTGATCTCCCAGGTATTGTTCTTCTCTAGGGCCGGCATTTCATCTTTCATGGCACTTTTCTAGTTTTCATCAAATAAAATCTCAGAAATATTAGTATGAATATGAATATCATTTATTGTGATCAAATTTTCTGTGTGAAGGTGAAAAATTATGGAAGGATACAAAGTTAGTTATGGAATACACGGGAGATTTTTTTGGTGAACTTGTATTTACCTCAATTTCAAGATATGGCTCAGATCCTTGGATCTGCTCAAGAGCATATTTTGGATTTGTACGTCTGGAATACACTTTTCCAAATCTTATGTTATCCATAATAGCTTTATCCTCAATTTTATTAGCTTCGGTTTCAAGTTTGGATGGATCGATTTGAGATGGAGTTGGAAGGTCAAGTGGGGTATACTCACTTTCCTCATCTTCCTCAGTTTCAGTCTACCCTTGAAGATGAGGTTTAGTGAAATAAGAATTTTATTCGTCAAAAGTGATGTCAGCAAATATAAGGGTTTTTTTGGTGGATGAGTGATAACACTTATGACCTCACTCGGTGGATGAATATCTGAAAAAAATACATTTGAGTGCTCTTGGATCTAATTTTCTTCTATTTTGCCTATGAATGTGAACATAAGCAATGCACTCAAAGATTCTGAGTGTGAGATTGTTATGGGTTCGGAATTCAGAGTAAAAAAATGACAAGATATATATTGGTATTTTTAGTTCTAAAGTTTTTTAAGGTAGTTGGTTTATAAGATATGTGACACTTAGAAGGGCTTCCCTACAGTAGGATTTGGGTATATTGTAGTGGAATAAAAATGCACAAGTGGAGACAAGAAGGTGGCAATTTTTTCTTTCTACAACTTCGTTTTGTTATGAGGTGTGAACGCATGAAGACTCATGAATGATACATTCCTTTTGAAAATAGGAGGATAGAGTTTAATTAAAGTAGTCCTTGACATTGTCTAAACGAGATTTTTTTATTTTTATTCTGAATTAATTCTGGATCATGGTATGAAAAATGGAAAGGATAGTGCTAACATTGAATTTATTTTTTGGGAGAAAGACCCAAGAGAATCGAGTGCAGTCGTCAATGAAGGATACAAATCATTAGGCCCATGAAATGTTAGGAATTTTTTAGGATCCCCACATATCACTATGAACAAGGTAAAAAAGAGCATGAAATCTCTTATTTTTGTTTGTAAAAAAAACTCATTTATGATTGGCTAACTCACAGTTTCACAATGAAGGATTAATTTTCTAACTAATAAAAAAGTTTTGGATACATCAAAAGATGGATGTCCTAATCTAAAATGATAAAGCCAAATAGCATATGTTTTTAGTAAATAGGAATAACATAGAATAGCCACATTGATAATAGTGGATTTTTTCAGCACTTCTAAGTAGTACAATCCATCTTTTCTTTTAACAAGTTCAATCTTCTTCTCCGATCTCTGGTCCTGAAATAAACAAGTAGGCTTAAATAAGACTTAGCAATTATGGTCACTGATAAGTTTTTGTATTGAGATTAGGTTTGTAGATAATTAAGGTACGTGGAGAATATTTTTTAGAATGAAACAGGGAGCTAAGGGTATGTCTCCTTGGCCTACTACTATGGTAAGAGAACCATCAGCAATGATGATTTTATTATCACTCGAGCAATGTGTGTAGTTAATGAAGTTGATAATGGAGTGTGTCATGTGATCTGTGGTTCCTGAGTCAATGATTCATAAACCTTTCAAATGATTTATAGAGACATTTAATCTGATGGATATAAGAAACTTACTTGGACGTATAAGAGAAGATGTAGATGATTTTTCAAGGTATGACAGGTGTTGTTTTAACTTATCAATATCTTTTTTAATGAGCTATCTGAAGCTGGACGACATTTCTAGGTTTGACTGACTTATTGTAGTATTAGCTTGTGATGTCCCATTTTGTCCACTTCTTTGATTTCACTCTTTACTTAGGGACTTTCCATATAGCTTCGAGCGGGTCTCCTTTGTGTGCCTTGATTTTTTGCAATAGCTGGACCAAAGGGAGTCTTTGTCTTTAGGTTTTGAGGAATTATTATCTCTTTCCTTGCATTGCGCCTCTTTGGTTGTCACCATTGTTGAACCTTCAATAGCCTTTGGTTCTAGCATTACCCCTCGTTGGCTTTCCTCAGCATGAATGAGAAAAATGGTCTCATTTAGTGAGGTATCTCCTCTTTGCCAAGGATCTAACTCTAACTTGGTTAAACTCCGTATGTAATCCTACAAGAAAGTCATACGCTATCTTTATCAATAAATCTTTTCTAGATAGCAGCATCTTCTGGAAACTTGGTCTTTATACATCTGTAGTGATCAAGTTTGTCACAAGCCTTAAAGGAGAGTGGCATATTCAGTCACGTTTTTGCTTCCTTGTTTTGTGTTTTTTTGTGCTTCTCACCTTAACCTTAATTTCAAAGACTTAAGCAGCATCCCAAGATTTTGAGAAAGTTTGTTTGGCGGCATCCCATATATCCTTTGTAGTATATATGAACATAAAAGTATCACTAATTTCTGGAGTCATGGAATTCCATAACCATTTCATAATCATGAAGTCTTCTTCATTCGATGCCCAAAAATTAGGATCTTCTATTTTTGGTCCAACCCCAAGGAGGTGATTCATATTTCTTTTCTCTTTCAAGTAGGCCTTCACAAATTGAGACCGCTTCAAATAATTCTTCCCATTTAAGTATAGGAAGGTTGCATATTTTGGAGGTCTCCTCTTCCTTGGGCACCATAGAGTCCTCAATTTGGTCAAAGCTTTGGGGGGAATTTGCTTCAGACATTATGGCGACAAAGGGTAGCAATGAAGAGTATATCAAGCAGGGCAACAATGAAGGTTGTGTTGGTTATAGATAGGATAACAACAACAAGGGAAGGCCAACAATGAAGGCACCACAGTAGAAAAAAAAACTCAAAATTTTGGCAACGATAATGAAGGCTCTGATACCATGTTAAATTCAAAGAACTGGAGAGGGAAAAAACTTAATTTCATTGCACAAGGTTATCCCTATTTATAGATCTATATAAGATATTTTAATAAGAAAATAAATAATTATGAAAGAATATATAATTTGCCCTAATATAATCCTTCATAAATCAACCACTCAAATATGGAAGGAGATTGGCATGATTCAGATGAGCCTCCCACAAATCTCCATGCTGGCCATGGGATCAAGGGCCCAAGGGATGGTTAGTATTTAGCAGAAAAATTTAGAAGTTTATGTTATCAAACAATATTGCTATAAAAACGAATGATAGCTTGGATCTTATTATTTAACAAAGTATACATAGATGGACATATAATTTCTAAAGTTAAATTTGGGTGGTTATTGCCTTTAAGTAAAATAAGCCAATGACAAATCATGTATCATCTGCAGTCAACCTATATGATCAGATTTTTGGGTTAAGCAATCCATTCCCTTAAACTGTTTCAAATAGTTATGTGAGATAGATGGGTTAATTCCTCCTAGGTAAAATTCATATCTCGTAGTTCATCGGCACCTTCCTTAATTTCCCTATACATTCAAGCCCAACACCCACCCCCATTGTATAAAAGTGATATCAATGCCCCATTCTTCCAAGCTGTCACTCTATCATATGGTTGACCTGGCATGGAGTAAGCATGTAGATGAGTGACAATAAGGATAAGGAACAACAATGATGCTGACAGCCACAAAATTACTTCGGCCTCTAATCATGTATGAATTTTGGTCAAATAATAAAACAAATAAAGAAACGAGCTCGGAAAAATAATACTCTGCTTCAGTATCTCAAGCTGAGTAACAAGTTTCTAAACCAGAGCCATATAAAAAGCTACTCAAGAAAATCATGACCAATTGGAATGATGAATACTACAACAACAACAACATCAAGCCTTTATCCCACTACGTGGGGTCGGCTACATGAATCCTTTTTCTCCATTGTGTCTTATTAAAAGTCAAATTCTCGTTTAAATCTAATAAAGAAAGGTCATTCCTAATATTTTCTAACCAAGTCTTTTTAGGTCTACCCCTACCTTTCTTAACATAAGTCAAATCTAATACCTCTACTCTCCTAACCGGGTCATCGCAAGGCCGCCGTTTTATGTGACCAAACCATCTAAGGCGACTTTCTCTAATCTTATCTTCTACTGGAGCTACTCCAACCTTTTCACGTATATGCTCATTTCGTATCCTATCTCTAAGGGTAAAGCCACTCATCCACCTGAGCATCCTCATCTCTGCCACACTTAACTTAGTATTATGCTTCTCTTTTAAAGGCCAACATTCGGCACCATAAAGCATTGCAGGCCTCACTACCATCTTATAGAATTTTCCCTTAAGTTTGAGGGGTGCATTTCTATCACATAACAAGCCCGATGCATTCCTCCACTTCAACCATCCAACTTGAATTCTGCTGATAATATCCCCATCTATTTCACCATCACTCTGAACAATAGATCCAAGATATCTAAAACGTGTACTCTTATTAATGACTTGATCGCCCAAAGTCACAATCCCCTCACTAAGTCTATTACTACTAAAATTGCACTCCATATATTCCGTTTGATGAATATGGAAACAAAAAAAATACAGAGACAGAAAATAATAAGTATAAAAAATGTTATACCAAAGCAAAATCGTGGAGTACAATTTAGAGTTTTAGACTTCGTTTGAGACTGTTTTTTTACTATTTTTTAAAGTAACTTTTCAATATAAAAATTTTTTGAACTAAAATTTTTGTAATAGAACACTGTTTTAAAAAACAATAAAAAAACTGTCCCAAACAAAACCGTAACTTTGGAAAAGTAACTTTCTGGAAAGCTTCATACAATCATGAAGAGCATGCATCCACCAACGCTAAGTTTTGGCAATTTTCTAGCGCATATTAGTGGGATGAGGTCCAGAAAACGAGCAATACCCTTAAAGAAGTAAATATAATTTTACTGGTACTAATAAATAGATAAATACAATTGATGAAGAATGATATTCTAATTATGATACTTCTATAAGAAGCATAAAATACCAATAGACAGTAAGGAAAAAAAAATGTAAATAGACCTCAACAGTATCGATTGCTTCATTTGAAGGAATGGCGTGCAAAACTCTGCATGGATTAAATAAGAAAAATTTAACGGCAAATAAATGAGAATAAGAAAAAATTAAGAAGAAAAATATAGAAATGAAATCTTAGTAAAAAGATAAGTACACATTACTAAATTAAAACTACAGGACAATTAGCCAAACATATATTAAATTCACTAAAAAAAAATTGCTCAGGCAGGTTTTACTTGGAGATGGTTTCAATAATTATAAAGAAATATGGCTTTTAAGCGGTTATTAGATGATTGTCAATAGAAGTAAGGAAATGATGAATAAGGCTTTGCTTGGGATTGTTCAAAATGAAGTTCCCACTACATAAAAAAAAAAAAAAATAGAAGAGATGCTCTATAAGTGCATTATTCATGAGCAAGAAACCACATAATGGTATATGCGCAGGGTAGGATTTCCATCATATTCCTAAGTGATGGAGAGGGGTAAATAATGCATGCATGGACAAATTACATATGTATATATTTTAATCATTGCAAGCCCATTCTCTCCTAATTTTTTAAGGTAAACTTTGTTCAAAATGATTAGCAAGGTGCTCCTACGGCGTAACTTCCCTATCGCACATCAACATGTTACAAACCAAATAGAGCCTAAGAAAACCTAACAATTCATTCAAATAAATCCCCTCCATTATAAGATAAATATCAAATCAAAGTCATCTATTGGTGAGACAAGAGCTTGCACGATTCGTCTATCGACACCACTATTGACGACTGCTTGGAATCCTTACACATCTTCTTGCTTTGGTTTCACTTGCTCTACTTCATTGATGTCAATTGACAATTTGATCAGTCACAATAGCCCATTCTCACTTAACCCTCGTCGCGGCGCTTTGAAAAGCGTGCGAAGCCTAAAATAGGATTTTCGGGTTTTACAACGACTGCTTGGAATCCTTGCACATCTTCTTGCTTTGATTTCCCTTGCTCTACTTCATTGATGTCAATTGACAATTTGATCAGTCACAATAGCCCATTCTAGCCTAGCCAGCTAGACCCTCGTCATCGGAGACGCTCATATCATCAAAAAAGGTAAAATCTCCAATAACATGTTCTGTAAGATTAGTGAGACTGCTCCAAACAAAGATATCACCCAAACAGAGGCTAGCACATCGCAATTGGAATCGAAGGGTTGTAAGAGGACGTTGAAGTTCACAGTTAGTTTTTGGAGGTGGAATAGAAGTAAGAGAAGAGTAGGTTAAAAGAGTTGAGAGAGAGAGAGAAGAGACAAAAGAAGCAACAAAAATTGGGCCGAGGGTATTGTGCAGGAGGAATATTTTTTTAAAGGTGAAATGGATGCAACATAATGATGCAAGCAAAAAAAATGGGAAAAGCTCCAAATTTTTGCGAGCAAATGAAACTCTTCCTAGGATAAAAAAAGATACACAAAACTTCCAAAACTACTAGACAAAATACGACAAAATACAACTTTATAAATAAAACATAACGCTTACAACAAATGACGCTTACAAGATGCTTACAAAAGGACTTACAAACTTTCAAAACATAAACTCCTAAAACTGCATTTCATCCGTTGAGAAGAAGGATACAGGTGGGGTGGTCACTTGCGGATAGAAGAAAGAGGTTAGAAGACTAAACGAAGTATAGCTCGCAAGCTATAGAGAGGAGAGGAAGGTGGATGACATAGCTCGCAAGCTATTCCAAAGAAACCCCCAGGTTCTGTCCAAAAATCACATTATAACAACCCACTCTTTTAAGCTCAAAACCAAGCAGTCAAAGCCCAACCCGGGAGCAGCCAAGGCCCAAACCAAAATACAGCAAATAAGGACCCAAGTTGTTCCCCCCCCCCTGCCTACATCCATTCTCTTCTGGTTGAAAGAATTCATCTCCCGATGAAGTTGCTTTAGATTTGATCCGAGGAGATGATGGAAGCGCATCAAGCTCTTGAATCTTTGTCGCGTACTTCTTCAAGATTTCATCTCGCTCTTGCTTGAACTGTTCTTGCAGACGCTTCCTTTTCTTCAAATAATTTTCCGTACTCATATGCAACTACGACTGAAGTTTGTATAGCTCATTCTGCAGGGGATCTGTCGAACTTCGTTCCGTCAGAATCCACCTGTCCATTGGAATAGGGACTTCAAGATCTTCTGGATTGCATTCTTCCACGACTGAATCAATCTTTTTGTGATTTTTCATTTTTTTTAACACATAAAAAAAGACACGAAAAGAGACCTAGGAAGATACAAACCTAAGCTCTGATATCAAATTGATGCAAGCAAAAACTTGAGAAAAAGCCCCAAATTTTTGCAAGCAATAACAAGACCTTTCTAGGAAATAGAAAATTAAATAAAATATATCCAAAAAGACAAAATACAGCAATTGAACCAAAAATAATTTCACTTTATAAAATAAGAGGACTTACAAATTTTTACACTTACAAACACAAACATAAACAATTACCTTACAACTCTTGACAATCATAAAACACCTAAAATTGCATTTCCTTTGCTTAAGAAGAAAGATACAAGTAGAAGGGAACTTACAGATAGAAGAATGAGATAAGAAGCCCGAGAAGAAAGATATGAGGACAATCTCGCAAGCTTTTCCAAGAATGAAAGGAAGAAATGGAACAAGCTCTCAAGCTCTTCCAAGAAAAACCCTCAGGTTTTGCTATACAAAATCACATTATAACAACCCACTTTTAAAACTCTAACAACCACAAAACATCTCCAATTTATAAGCAAAAGAAAGAAGCCAAACAGCCATTCCACCTCCAACCAAAACTAATAAAGTTTGGGGAAATGAAAGGCCAAAAGACACCACAACAGCCCCCCAAATTCTGCACAAAAAATAGGAAGAAAAGCCACGGGAAACCCAGCCAGCAAGCCACAGGAAAGCAGCCAGAGAGGGACCCAAGGAGCCAACACAGGAAACGGGGCAGAGGGGTCACGGGAAAGCAGCCAGGGAGAAGAAACGAAAAGACAACCAACCCATAGCATTTACTCACAAGGAAGAAAACAAAGAGACACAAGAATAGGAAGAGACAAGCTCCACTCCACATAACTTTATGAATTTATGAGCTAGGAAGTGCAAATACTCTTCTAATTAATGAACTAAAATATCAGCTCAAACATTTATGAGCTGGAACCAAAAAGTCCCAAAATTTCAGCTCAAAACCAAGCAACCAAAGCCCAACCCGAGAGCAACCAAGGCCCAATCATAGAGGTAACAAGCAGCCCAAAGAACAAAATATTCATTTTGTTTTGACCCCCCCACCCCCCCTTGCCTACATCACATAATCATAACATTTGGTTAAAATTAAGCCGGACCTTTTGATCTATATCTAAGAGTGAAAAAAATAAGGGGGAATGGATACATATATATATAACCTAGAAAAGATTGAAATTTCATATGCCAACCAAAAGAAGTCGAGTCAAGCAACAACAAAGCAAAATCAAACAAGCTTTCTAGCCTTTTTAGGTCCTTTTTAGCCGAATTTCATGTGTTTTTATTTAATTTAATTTATTAGGTTGCAGAAACTAACTCTAATTTGAATTTAATTTTACTGTAGGATTATATTTGATTTTAATTTGTTTGATTTTATGCATGTGATTATATTTCTATAACTTCGGATTGATAACTTGTAATTAAACATGTTATTGATCAATTAATGGATGAAACTATTTAGCAAGGACAGTAGATTGTTATTTAGGTGCCAACTATGTACGTGGATTGCTTCAAGTTCTGTACGTGGAATTTCACCCACTTCCCCCTCCATCAATTTTGGTATCAAAACCAGATTTGATTTTTCTCCATGAAACTGTTTGACCTCGCAACCCACCTGCATCCCGCATCATACTCTCATCAGTTCCGCAACACGCCAAAACTAGCAACCAGTCTCACATGCTTTCACACCAAAAGCCAATTGCTCCTTCAAATAATCCCTCCATCGGGCAAGAATATCACACAAGTTCACTCCTTATCCCTCATCTAACTTTGCCCGCTCAAACATTTCCAGCAAGCATAATCTGTGCTGACCCTGTGTGTTATGTTATTCTTTGTGACTACACAAACCATACTCACACAAAGTCGACACGTAACCTACTATCAATCTGATGTGACCTACATGTAATCTGTGCGTAAGTGTTCATTGCATTATAATTTTGTCTTATCTACGCACATTCATCATAGTCATTATCTAAACCACCAAATCACTTGGCCAAACCAAACACAATAGCCTCAACTCCATATTTTTCCTCTTGCTATGATGATGACCTTTATGATACGATGGCGCGCCACTTTCTGATAATGAATTGGCCTTTAATAATTATTATGAGATACTGGTATACAGGTTCATTATTCTTCTTAAGGTTGATTCTAAGATAATCTTAGAGCATAAAGCCGAATCCTGCATCAGATGAAGTGCTTGAGCCTGAAAATGTCATTCAACATAAGACAATTTCTTGCAAATTTTCTTCACTATGTCATTATTTCAAAAGATACAAACTAACTTAGATTATCATAATTTGTCTCAGTTGAACCTACCAAAATTGAATTTATGATGCCGTTGTTACCATCATCACTTCATCCATTGTTGGCCCACATTTCAAATATTGTTTAGGGGTGTGAAATTTGATGTGACCTAACACCCAAGCCTCCAATTTTATGTGTATTATTTGTATTTCTTCCTCCTATTATTCCTTTTATTGCAAGGATGTTTCTTTCGTTTGAGGATTTAGAGATATCACTTCCTCCTCCATGGCCTCCAACAAACTCTTCAAGAACAGAGTTATTTCTTTGCCAATTGGGTGAGTTGATACAGTAAAAATTAACTAGTTTAACTTAGAAAAAATCAAATTGTAGTAAGTCAACCAAAAAGAAATCGAATTGAACTAGAAAGTAACAGAATCAAACTAATTTTCCTGACATTTTAGGCCCACTTCTATTTTTGGCCTAATTTTCATATAATACTTTATTTGATCTATTTTATCAGGTTGGAATTTAATTTTATGATAGTATTATATTTGAATTTCTCTTAGTCTTGCAACCTTAGTTCTATTACTTGTATAAATAGGCACTAATAGCTTGGAATTAAATTGATTATTAATTAAATTATTTTGTGAGGCCAATCGAGTACTCCAAAGATCCAAGTTATGTACGCAGAGTTTCTTCCTCTTCATCCATCAGATGCAAGTGTATATGTGAGCATGTAATGTACAAAAGAGTGATGACTAAGCAATGAAGAGGAGGAATAAAATTAGAGAAATAGATGCTTATAATGTAACAAGAAAATTAACATCAAAAGGGCATCCATAAAAACGCATGGATACACAAGTATACATACTGATAGAGTTATGACACGTTTGAGGGGTTTCATAACGGCTCTGTTGCTTTGTTGGCATTAATATGGGGGAAGGAATACAAATCAGTCTCAAGTATAAGTTCCAATGAAGAGATGATTAGCTAAATTTCAGCATATGGTCAATGGGTAAGAAGTATTAATATATCTTCTGCATAAAACTGCAATCAACTAACTGTATCACAGAACTTGGCCAAGCAAGAAAAGAAAAAACAAACCTCTCTTCAACCACGGGAACAAGGCCAGCGGTCAAAGCAACTCCACCAATCTAAAAGAATATGATAAAATGTGAGATTCAATTTGTATATGAACTTCAACTCATAATACTTGAATGCTCACTATTTGTATGCTGCAAAATAACTTCCTTTGAAGATCTATGCGACCTGCAAATTAAGAAGTGTATACATTAGCTAAGATAAATGAAGCATGGGAGACATCAGAACAAGGAACAATGGATTGATTCTAATTCCTAAGCCGCCCAATCACGCACAAAACATGTTGGATCATTCAAGTGTGCATAATAACCCATCATTATAAATGCAAAGCTACTTGTGAATAATCAGCACTCCCTTCTGAATTATTAATACTCAACTTTGTGCTACAAATACCCCCACTCCAAATAGGCAACATTATCATTAACAAAATCTCAACTAATGTAACCAATATGCAAACTAATTTTTTTAGTACGATAAGAATAAAGTAATAATTCACTAATATTACAATTCTGATACCACTTATTAATCATCGATAAGCTGCTTGTTAAAATTTTAAGGTTCCATTTAACCTTTATACAAAACCCTGCAAAGTATCTCAGCCTAGTCTGTATTTTGCACTGAGCTTCACCAAATCACTCAGATGGCAGGGGTGAATTTATACCATCCCTCACTCCACTGTGGTTCTCAGTTCAGATTCCCCTCAAACACAAATGACTCCATGTACCAGACAACTAAGTATAAGTACCTGTTGAAAGAATGCTAGTCGTGATTGCCTCCGCAAGGCCAACCAATTCATCTTTCTTAAGTCTTTTTGGATACACTTGATAAGTATCCCACATGGAAACACCGCCACTAGAACCAAGATAAAGTCCATCAGACATGTCAGGTCTTCTGGTGAAGTCCATTTGCCAAGAATCTTCTAGCATATCTTCATAGTCATGGAACCTGGCAAGAATAAGAAAAATTGGACAACTACATGAGAAAATGAATCCACAGCAAGAAGGAAAAGGAACCAGGATAATATATAAGTATCTCACCCTGAGCGTGGTGGTGGTGGGTATTCTTCTGGAACAAAAAGAGTTGGAAGGAATAGGCCCATAGGAGGAACCTAAAAAACAAATTAATCAAAATGCAGCCAAGATGCAGATTCTTACCATACAATTCAAGCTCAGTGGATCAAATATGAATCGTGTTAAATGGATTACTCTTGAATGGTTCGAAAATGAGTGACAAGGCAAATTGAAGGAAAAGATAATTTCAAGCTGTATGGTGGGGAGTGAATTAGCAAATGTATTCTATTCATCATCAATGTTAATCTCATCGTCAATTACGTATTTTAGGACAATAAAACCCAAGATAGCTCATTAATCATATCATATAACTTCTATTAATCTATTTCAGTAGAACATTTATCGGTAAAAACATCTTTTCTAAAACACTAACCAGATGGATACGCCATGACTTGATGGTGGTAAAATAGAGACTTAGGGAGATTTCATAATTATAACTATTTCAAGAAACATTTTACAAAGACATGATATATGTTTCTATATTATACATAATGAATCAAAAACATTGAAACCACATTTTTTTGTGTGGGGTAGGGGGGATATATATATACACACACACACAAAGCAAGTAAATATATTTATATACAGTAACAACATTTGCAAAGCCCACATAAATTCTTGATTCATCTCTCAGTCCATTCAAATATTCTTAAACAGGAAGTTTACAAACTAATATAAGGATAAAACCACTTTTCTAAACATCTTTTTGTTAAGGTGCATAGAAGGTAACTCACACAAAGCACATCTCCTTAAACTGACCCCACAAGTAAGCTGAATACAACACATGAATAGAACTGAGAAATAATAAACAGTTCCCTTTAGAGACCTTAAAATGGAAGGTGCTAGAAGATTAAAATAAAGGCAGTCTCTTAAATTATCTAAGTATTTTCTAAAATGTGCACTAAAGAATCCACAAGGTAGTAAAAATTGATTCTGAGAAGGGACGATTGAAACCTAGGCCAGCAGTTTAACAGGTAGACCAAGGAAAGTGTTATCCAGTATGTAAAATATTATTAAAACAAAATCAATAACTTAATAATACGCAAGTACATTTTTTTATAATAATTTATGGTTAAATAGCCAAAGAGCTCAAACTCACTTCTATTAAAAAAATGAGCTTTCCATCCAATTTCATTCAGCCAGTGTCAGATTGATTTTCATATTAAAAGAACACTCCAGAAAGTAAAATGAATCATATAAAATGTGTCAGAATGTAACTTACGAATTTCTGCTAAGAAATATTATCATCAATCGAACAACCACAAACATCATAAAAATTTATTCTACCCATTTTTGCGATGTACTATGTTATTCATTATGTCCAAATGACGTGAAAGAAACAAATTAAAGTGAAAGTAAGATTACATGCTTTAATTAATCCTTTTGAACTTAGTAGCGCACAAGTTCAATTTTCTATTTGATACAAATTCTTAGAGTTTGAACACACAACATAACCCAAGAAAACAAAGTTTGTGCCATGAGAGCGTTTGGCATGAATATATAATCTTTCATAAAAAGAAAGTAAAATATCCTGAAAATTGATAAATTTCTTCCGGTAACACTTGTCACAACTTGCAAACATGTTTATTGATCTAAACTAACGAAAAATGATATACTCGCAAAGATGGTATTCAAGAAAGACGGGTTACATTGAGGGCAGATAGTCTAGCCTTGTGTGATCCAGCAGGCTTTCCTTCCTCACAAGAGTGTACAATAGCCACAGCATCAAACTCACCCTCCTATACCAAAAAAGGGTACAGTCAATGGTAATATTAATGAAAGCCATACAAGACATAAATACTTCATAAGGAACATGCGCTTTTCCATCAAATACGAATTATGGCATATTAATCACCAAATATAGTACCTGAAAAGTAAATTGAGAATAAAAGAAACTGCTGAAGCTCATGAGTACATTGAGACCCCTAAAATGTATTAGAATTCATTTAATCCCACTGTTTAAAAATCAAAGTTAACCCATTTCATGCCCATAAGGTCCGATTATTCTTCACTTGCCTTACTGGCCAAATGATATCAGTCACAAAAAAAAAATTATATTCTGATAGACCTCCTTTAGTTTGATGTCAGATTTCTGTCTGTGGCCTTACTCTTTTGCAGTGTACGCACTACGTGGATGCTGAAATGAGATGCTCTTCATGAAGTTTTAAAAAAACCAAGCATTAAACAGAAAGATGATGACTTCTTTTTGCTAGATCTCTAGGATCCCTGATTTCTCTTTCTTCAATTAATTTACTTATTCAAAGATCAGCCCTTGCTTCAATCCTAACATGATAAGAAGAATGACTAGAAGAATGTAGATAGAAAAACTTAGGGAGAGGAGAGGTAGGATCTAGTAAATGAGAGAGGGGGAGACAAAACTAGGCTTTCAGCTATGAAAGACTAGTTAAGGGGTCCATTTTGAAGAGAGGAGGGAGATTTCAGGATTGCAAATAAACTTCAAACCATCATAATTACAAGAGTTTCTCATCATCTCCTATTAATAAAAATAGGGTCACAGATACAACCATGAAAATAACCTACAATTAAAATAGAGGATATTTCCTAACTAAGGTACATAGAAAAGAAAATTTGTGATTTGAATAAACCGAATTGGTTTGTGTCTAGAACCATGTCATGTTTTAGGCCTAGCAATGTATGGACAAGCTGGTACCAGAACAGAAAGGTATGAAAACCATGGACACTTGGGTCAAATAAAAATTGATAAGTCAATTAATCTAGTCAGTTAATAAAATCTATTAATAGTGCCAAAAGATTGATGGGGCAATTTAAAATCTTTAGTTTGTAGCTACAATTCTTATACACTCAAGTAGGTCTAAGATCTAATGAAATGCAAGTTGTCCTGTCTGCTGCCAAAAGTCAACTCATGTTACCAGGTCGTTGCATATACAAGCTAACTGTATAGCCCTTTTGATGAAGAGAAAAAATTGTTTTAAGCAGATATTTTCTAAAATTACTAAAGCCCACCACTCACAATTTTTTGATCAGTTGATAAGCAATGAAAAACATAGAGGCCAATGCTTTAAAATTCAAGTCTTCAAGGTTATTTGTATAAAATCTAAAGTTAGAATTAAAGACAAAGCAATCGTACAAGCAACATACAAAGGAAACAGAAACGTTTTCTCAACAAATACATGTCTTTAAAAACAATAAAAGTTGGTAATAAAATACAAACAAATTTCACGCAAAATAAGAGGGAAAAGAGAAAAATAAGGAAAAAAAAAAAAACTTATTTAGGAAGGTAAAAGCTAACTCACTCTAATCTGGCAGTAAGACTCTTTTATTTTATTTAGCATGAGCATGTCAATTGACTTCATCACCGGATCTGTGTTTATACTTGGCCATGCCTGATGATAGCGTTGAACCCACAAAAGGCACCTTGAAATGTCCTACAGCATTATTCAATTGAATATTTAGACACAGTAGGTAAGTCATGTAGAGATATCATGACATTTTAAATAAGATTTATGATGAGTTGATCATTGCCCATTTTTTGTTCAAATGATTGATTGCAGAATGCATAATTTAGAAGAGATTATTTGATTCAAAAATTTTAAATTCCTTAAATTGGTTGTTGCTTGACATCCACAATTCTAATTAACTCTTAGCAAATGAAGAATACCTATGCATGAGGTTCCTTAAATGATGATCTAGGATAGGAGGATGTATAAAACGTCACTTGTCTCTCTACTGCATTCATAGAAAGAAACGTAAGCCATAGCATGCTATAGATACTCTCAAGATATAGGGGATCTCATCGGAGATAATGTCGTCGCACCACCTAAAGAGAACATTAGTATTGGCCTTTCTTTGAATGTCATATTGCAATCCTTTTTGTGACCCGTGGATCTCGTTGAAGCCCTTCACACCCCCATCATAAAAAAAGAACATTGTCGCCAATCTCAAAACCACAAGTATATAATATACAGGAACTCACAAAAGCAATATCATGTTTAAAAAAAATCAAGATGAAAATCTTGATAAGAGTGTAAAAGTCCGAGAATGCTCAAAATTTTTTAATATTTTCCATATTTTTTTTAATTTTTCTTGATTTTCTTTCTTTCTTTTTATTAAAAAATATCACAAAATATTCAGAGGATTTCTCATCTGTTGACTCGCTTAACTGTGTATACATAGTGCTCAGAAGATTTGTTTGAACCATAGAATTAGGTTGCATGCTTTTTAAATCAGTTGCATACATTTCAAAGTGAAGCCCATTCAGAAAAAAGTGAACATTTTTGGAGCCATTGTGATTTCAATTTTCAGGTTATCACTAGCACAGGTATTTTATCTAAATACAAGCATTACTGTGCATTTTTGACAAGTTGGTGTGCTTTTGAAGTGCGTACATCCTTTTCAAAGCACATGCATGACTTTTGGTGCTCCTCAAATTCGAATTGAATTGTCTTATAAAGCACACTTCATTTAAAACTATTTAGGTTTAATTTTTCACGCATTTGTTAGTTGTCATTTTTTCCATGCAAATTTTTGGAGCACACCTACACGTTATTGGAAATGTTTTTATAAGTTCATATTTGTCCACTTGCAAGTTTGTTTGAGTTTATTTGTGTGCATGCCCACAATGCGAAGTTTTGATGAGTCGTGTAATAATGTCATCTTATTTCTATTTTGATTGCGTGGAAAGCTGAGCGGGTTCTATAGTGGGAGCATCCATGCCAATAAATGGGGTCGTCTTCCATGCTATTTTGAGTTCATAGTGTTCCAAGAAATAGCAAGGCCGACCTAAAAGTGTCTATTAGCGAGTCTCTAGAGTTCCTTTTTTTTCTCATTTTTCATCACTTTATGTGATTTGTAATGCATTTCAAGCATTTGTTTAATTTGTGTACTGCTTAATAGCTCTTTTTAGTTGTCATAACTTTTTTTTTTCAAAAAACATTTGTTTAATTGTTTAGGTAGATTTCGTGTGAATTTGGCAATGCTTATATGTCACTCTTGCATATGGGGTACCGAGAAACATGATAGCCCTACCCACTAAGTCAAGTTGATCATGGTTAAAGCTCTATCCCAGTGCATGAAGAAAATAAATATATGAATGCTGCATGGTGAACAAGAATGAGTTTTCTTTTAGTCCACCATGCAAGAAAGACATGTGTGAACATTTTTGGGGAAATTACCCACATAATGAAAGCACAAAACAATAGGATATAGCCCCTCATCAAGAAAAATAGGAATTCAACGAGGCAAGATCACTACATATGCCTCTACATGATATCGACTACACGTTAGTAAAGAGAATAAGAGATTAGAAAGGGAGAGTGAGAAAGAGAGATGACCAATATTGTGTGTTTGTGAGAGAGAGGATTAGTGTTGGGTGTTGGCGAGTCAAAGCTGAGAGGGAGAAATGAGGGAGGAATTTTTATAAACCTTCTCTCTCTTTTTATATCATTAAGGAAGGCAGGGTAGGGGAACAAGTGTGTATGAGGGGATGAAAAAGCAAAGTGAGAAATGAGCGAGGATTTTTATAAACCTTCTTTCTCTTTTTATACGGTTAGAGGAGGCTGCAGATGACCCCCAATTAAGGTGCCTAAAATGTCGCATGCAAGCACTAGTTGAACAAACAATTTCTTGGACAATAAAACTACTCCTAATATTTTTCTCAAAGATAAAACAAAACATTTTTAATATTTTTCTTGTTTTTAATGATAAAAAATCTATTATTAATATTAATGTATACATTTCTTATTTTATGTACAAATATATATATATATATATATATATATATATATATAATTATTAATAATATATTCAAAAATAAGTGTGTATGTGCAGACACTACCATAAATTTATCATCACTCACATGTTATAAATGTTTTCATCCTCCTTGCACAACAAGTCGAGCGATACAACGAGGCTTCACAAACTTTTTTGGTGTTCCAAACATATCGAGGTAGTCCATTTGGTGAAATAGGTGATAGGTGACTACGCTTTTTATGTGAATGCGATATTTTGAGTCGAATTTTCGCTAAATTGCACCCATCTATCATTATAGTCATTGCATTCAACCTGGTTAACTTAGGGAACACTTGGAGGTCAACAACATGAAAATAGCATACAATGAGAACTTCAAATGGAATTTCAACAATGGTAATATCTAAATTTATAAGCTTATTAGCATTTCTACAAACTTATAAACTTATAAGAAGTCATTCATGATATTTTTTAGATGAAGTTGGATATCGATAAGTGATATGGATTAAATATCTTATAAATAGAGATATTTATAGGGATGGTAGGCATTATTCATCCTAATACTTCCACTCTAAATCACTAACATCAATACATTGAACTACTTATTTCTTTTACTTGAATTTCCAATTTATTAGTTATATTATATTGATCCTTCTTTTTTTTTTAATATCAAGATTATCCAATCATTTATTAAATATAATAGAAGTTACTTTTCAAACACAAGTTGTATAAAAATAAAGGTATGGAACAATGAAGGGGTTCAGCTAAACTTCTTATTCTTAAACATAAAAGAGTAATTTTTTATTTCCTAAATACTAAATAACTATGGTTCCATACTTAAATTGGCATTCTCTCCTTGTTATGGAGCTACGAAGGACTTCAACGAGACCTACAAGCCACTAAAGGAATGCAGAGCAACAGTCTATCATATATTAGCATCCTCATTCCCCTCGGCAATAGAACAATGAAGGTTTAATGTTCCACTTCTCCGTGAAGAGCAATGTCGACTCCCAAGAGAGAACATGCAACGTGTGATGCCTGCATTTCTCTATGGAGATGAGTAAAAAATGTTACACTTTATTATTAAGATTAAGAATAACTTCTGGTATTTTTATAAAAGTGAACGGGTATTTCAGCCATTAGCTAGTGTGCTTTCTAAAAAAATCCAATTGTAGTTTTTTTTTTTGCATCCAAATAGCTATCTTTGACCACATTTCTAGGGTAATTACATTCCATGAAGCATGCAAAAAAAAAAAAAAACTCACTCAAAAACTAGTTAAAAGGACCTATAACTGCTTCTTAAACCAAATGCAGGAAGAAAGCACAAAAACATAAAACCCAAGTTCATCACATATTAAGTGCGCCGTTTAATTCCAAATTGCTAAACAAATGAAAATAGCATTAGATGGATTTTTTACTTACTCATTTTTTTAAGTTTTAATTCTTCAATTATACATGGCTTTAAAGGTTCACCTGCTCTGCGACCTAGTTTAATAGACACAATCTATAGTTGAGTTGAACAAGAAAATAAGTTGTGCTAGCGAACCTCTATGACCAAATTAAAATTGCAGTGCAGGGATCTAGTTAAAATCATAGCATAGGAATTGAATCAAATAATTGGTTGGACAATTTTGCAATACAAAACCTTTAACCCAAAGTATAGACTTTGAATTATCACTCCCTCCAACCAAATACTTCAATCAAGTTATGGTAACAATAAGAAAAGTAAGAATCTCTCCCAAAAACTCTTCCTTCAATGTATCAATTCGCATCTCATGCTAGTGCAACACCATAAGTTAGCCACCTCCAAGCTCATCACAGCTACATTTCCATGGTAGACCAGTGGATCTATCAGTTGAAAGACTACATCTTCTCTGTAATGACAAGCGAAGAACATCAAGCATTAGTTCTTTATCTTCCATCTGGAAGAGCCCATCGCCAAGCTACCTAGTTTTCCTCTTTAACTCAAAGCCCACGCAATTATACCTCAACCAAGACAGACCAATGTTGGAATTAAAGAGAGAGAGAGAGAGAGAGAGAGAGAGAGAGAGAGAGAGAGAGAAAAGGATCAAAATAGTATCTTGACTATTTATGAAAGACAAAAATGATTTCCAACTATATTAAAATATCATTTTAATCCCTCAAGTCTTTAAAAATGAATCAAAATAATCTCATGATGGGACTTTTAGATACTCTTTAAAAAGTTGAGAGACCAAAATAGTCCTTTAATATAGTTAGGGACTATTTTGATCTTTCATAAAGAGTCAATAGCTATTTTGATCATTTTTCTGTAAAAAAAAATAATGCTCAGGTTCTCCAATTTTTTTACCCATTTATTATCAATCCAACATTTATCTTTTATCATTCATTTTTTTATGTTTTTTACATAAAAAGTCATTATTAATTATGACAACATTATCACTAATGGTTGAAGGTCAAATGATAAAACTGCACATTGACCATCAGATTGAAGTAGTTCTATTTTTAGTCCGGTTTTAACATCATATATTTAAAGAAAACAATAGGATGTGGCATTTTGGTCTGGTAAATTTTATGATTCTCAGTACAAAGCTTCACATGCATGCCAAAACTCCTTTAATTGCTATAGTAGACATATAACTCATAATCAAAGTTTCAAAATCCTTCTCGAACGCAAATCAATAATATTTTTTATAACGAGAAAATTGACCACAAATACTGGCTATAAAAGCAAGACATCTTCCACCAGAGCAAATTTTGCTCATAGTATAGCAGACATATAAGCAGTCTGATGTCCGAAACCTATTGAAACACATTCAATATTGGCATGCATGGGATTCTAAAATCTAACAAAAATGCATTTCCTCTGTTACATAATATCGTAGAAAAGGTAATGAGAAATAAATGCACCCCGACGCCAAATGATAGCAACTCCAAAATGCCAAAAGAACTGGACGATTTCATGAAAAGTACTGAAAAAATGCTTATATCAAGTCAAAAGCATGCATTTGAGGGAGGCCAACAATAGGAGAATAGTTATAGCAGGATGTTGGATAGAAAAATAATATAGCTGATTCTCCTGTAGATGAATTTCAAATTGCACCATGTCAACAAGGAAACAATATATCAGAAGTTCTCAGAGATGCTAATAAAAACACATAAAATATAGTTATTTTAATTTATATGTATGGATTGAACAAATGATCTGTTGTGTTATTGGTCTGCCATCCTCGAATTAAACGATTAAAAAATAATAGATAATAAGAAACATATAATAAACTAAAGCATATCTTAGATCATCAAAGAAATTAAAAAAAAAATATATACATCATAGCAAGGTTGGGAAAACCAGACCGGACGTTGAACCAGAAAAATGAGAGGTTCAAAATTCAATGATTCGATCGGGGTTGAACTGAATGATATAATAAATATTATAATTATTTTAATAAAATAAATAATATAATAATGATATAAATTTGTGTCTAAAAGTAAATTTAGTTTATATACAAACTTAAACATTTAATATAATTTATTACTAATTTATGTTAAATTTAATGTAAATTATTATAAATTACTATTAATTTATATTTTATATTTAGATAAATTTTACAGTCATAAATTATATATTAAATTCACATTATATTTTTACTTCTATAAATCATTCATGTTATATTATTCATAATTAATAAATAGATAAAAATTAAATTTAAATAATGTATATTTAAAAATAAAATAGATAAACAATCAAAATATAACTAATCAACAAAATAAATATTATTCTAATTATTAATAAAATAATTAAAATTTTGTTTCAAAATATATAATGTATGTGTTTTTTATCTTTGAAGTAGAAATTTTAAATTTCAACTAAGTTATTTAGTCCCACATCACTTGGGAGTTTTGTATATATAGATTTTTTTTTGTTGTCATGTGTTAAAAGCCCACATAGGGTGGTGGGACCATGTGAGCATGTTGCATTGGTGCTTAGATCGTAAATAATTATTAAAAAAATTTAGGCTTATTAAATTAATATTAAATTAATTTATTTAATTATTTAAGTAAGAGATCAATTGAACCGGCCGATTCTTGAAAACTGGGATCGATTCAACAGTTGGCAGGTTGAACTGCCATTTCAAACCGGTTCACATCGGTTTGATGTTGGGCCAGTTTTTAAGGAGGATCGAACCGAGCATATGACTAGTTCACGGTCGAACTAACCGGTCCGGTACTCCAATCCGATTTTCAAAACCATGCATAATTGTGTTAACAAGCAAATAATGTTTGTTGTTAGGATGGCATTGCGTGGCACTACCAAGGAGAAAAGGGAGTCTTCAACTAGAGACTCTTCCTGAGTCGAGGAAAAATTCCTACAGCATCCCCATTTTTAGAAGTCGAGAAGAAAAAGCAATGTAAAAGAGAAATGATAACAAAGAGCATGCAAAGATGGTAGTATACATAATTCAGCTTTGTATCCTATGTTGACAGTGTAGTGGGAGACAATTCACTAAAATAGTAAAAAGTGCAAATTATAAGGAATGAGTAAACTAGCCAATCGAATTGTGCAACTGGGCCAAGGGACCAAGAATCCATTATACATCGAGTTAATATCTCAACTAAGGTTCAAAAAGTCCCCCCTTCCTGGAAAAAAGTAGAGGCAAAATATTCAAAAATAGGAGCTGATGGGATGAAAACGAGGTATTATAGTGTCAGCCATCACGACCAAAGGTCTAATGGCTTATAGGTGGTTGAGGCCCAAATTAGCATTTTCGTCATGCAAGAATGCAATTGGAAAGTTGTGGTAGTCTTGTTGAACATCATGGATAGGTGTCAACAATGAGGAAATAGAAAAGTGCATGTATTAAAGCCAACAAGTATGTCCAAACTCAGTGACCTCAGAAGGTAATTGTCAGACTAGGAATTCCGGATACTGCTATGTGACCTCAGTCATAGCTAGCAACTCGCTAATGAGCCGACGACCAAGGAGACGTAGGGCGGAATCAAGGAGTTGACAAACTGAAAAGAGGCATCGAAAAATGAGCTAACAGGTAAAACCAAAAAGATGGTAAGAGACGGCGGAAGGGATTGAGGAGACGATAAAGGGGTGGAGGGTAGCTCCAAGGCAACGATAGAAGAGCTGGCAACATGGAGATGTCGAATCCAATGAATCAGTAAGTTCACAGGCTGACAAAGCTAAGTGGATATAATAGAGCCAATTCACCTGTTGGAAGAGCAAAGCAACGAACTGAGTGACCTCATCAAGATATGGATTATAACGAGAAGCACAAGAGTTGTTAACTCGGAAGATGCTAAGTGAATGAGCCAATAAAACCGGTTAGCAAGAGAGACGCCAATCAACAGGGTCGACAGAATTGATCAACAGGAAACCATGGCAAGGAGAATGACAAGCGGTTGGAGACCATGTTGCTAGCCAAAGAAGTGATGGGAGGTAGCAAGTTATTAACAAGCAAACCAAAATACGACGACATCGTGAGAAACAAGAGACCTGGTGATGGATTGAGAAGGTGACCATGGTACATTAACCGGACAGCACCTTGATGCAACGACATCAAACAATTCATTGACAACCACATGTTCAACCTTGATTTGGTGTGGAAAACTGATTTTTACTAATAGGAAAGCACAGAGTTTAAAACTTGAAAAGAAGTCAAGCATAAAATATTACACAAAGCATAATTTTAGAGTTATAAATAAGATTCAAATACAAGTCTAAAGCTTTAAAAATCAATAATATTTCATCAAAGTTTATTCAGTTTAGCAAACAAAAACACCCCCAAATGCACTCAATGGAATGCGATGGTAACCAAAAAAGAGAAAGTGAGAATCAAAGTTTGCCAACCTCCGAGAGGAAGAGATAGAGAAATGCGCAAAAAGATTGACAAAGTCTCCATTAACCCCGAGCTTTCAAGTGAGAGAGTTTACATTGTGGTTGAGTCGTTGATCAAGAGAGGCATCAACAGGAGAGTGACATTTTATGTCTTAATTGTGAGTGCAAAAAAATATTTATTTAGGGTTAAAGGCTTCCTCCACTCTAGGAGACTATAAAACAAAAACCTAATTTTAAGAAAATAATAATAAACCCTGCCACATTACACGGCTACATGCTCGCGAGTCCTCATTTCCACAATTTGATCATGCCCCATGTTGTCCAAATTCAAGAACTGAATGTCAAATGAAGTCCAAAGCCCATGATCCATCGCAAAACAAATAAATAGCATGAAATGCGTTCCTCGGTATCATAACGCTTAGAAATGTACACCTCAATCGATCGAGGCATATGTTTTCATTCAAACTAATTGAGTCATAAGCTTCAATTCAAATCTTTAAGCTTCAAAATAGAATGAATGCTAAAGCGTAAGTTTTGAATGTTTTTTAAAATCATGGTCCAACCACTAAAAGGTTTATTACATCATTTCCTCCGCTCCGTTCCTACCCAAATACTCATGAAATAGATTTTGTGAAGGCACTTAACTTCTAAAATATTGTGTATCCACAAATAGTGCATTGAAGCAAATCAATCTATCATCAATGACATCCTCTAGTATATATATACTAGAGGCTTTGCATGAAATTTTCAATATAAAATCAATAAACTAATATTTTCAAGCATTTTAACTAGAAGTAAGAGAATACACATATACTGACTAATACAGTTTTAGATTTTTGTATGATAAGCCAATCTCCAATATATATCCAACTGAAACGTGTCATGCAAGACATGTGTTTACCATCACGGCATTGCAAATAAAAAAAAAACATTGCATCATATTTACTAATTTGAAATTCGACTAAAAACTTAACAACAAATAACATAACAACATCCGAAACAAAAGATAGTGTAAAGAGAATGCAATTGCCAATTCTTTGAATAAAATTAAAAGTAATAGCAATACCCACCTCTCCACCATATGGTTGTGTAATTATTGTTGAAGGTAAAGCAACTCCGTCCTGAAAACGAATCACCATAATAGCAGTAAATGTCATTTGGGAAGCTGTAGATTGTATGTTTTCTGAAAGCCATTAATATGAAACTCAAATCTTTATAACAAGATGAGGGGAGGTAAAAAAAAATTCGCAGAAATAAATATGCAGAAACCAGCAAAAACAGAAACAACGACTCAAAGTATAGATGAGTTTAGAACTCCTTGCCTCAATACAAATTACAGACGTAACTTGAGCACCAATATTTACCACACAAGCCGTGGATAGCCCATTTCCAAAAGCTGCTGCAAGTCCTTCCTGTTGTATGGATTTATAAATAATAAACAACCATATAACCAAAAAATATATCTAGAATAAATGTCCGAAGTTCAGTAATATATTCATTTACACGAGAAAGAGAACTGTCAGGATGTATTAAGAATAAAGAAAATAATAAATACAATGGATTGCAGCTAAATATCAGGATGCATTCAAAGAATCAGATGTCAATAGCTCCATGTTTCAATGAAAATAATTATTTCAGATAAAGATTATGTGGCACACCTGATGTACAACGGCTGTACTAAATCTCAAATCCCGCAAGACAATAGATAGCATTTCTTTGATCTCTACACAAGCAGAAACAAAAAATAACATTTTCATATTATCTTTTGGCTTAAACTTGATGCTCAGAATATCACGATTGTCAATAGCAAAGCAACAATCAGTAAGAATAAACTTCTCAAGATCAAATCAAAATAGCAACATTAAATTGTCATACTTGCACTCAATAAACTTGTACATTCATCAAAAGGTACACAATTTAATGAAACAAACAATTTTAGGAAACATATAGCATTTCCTATGTTGTGCATGAAATTATAAGCCCGAATTACTCAAGTAGCTTTCAAGCAGTTCCCACAAGTAAACGAAAACAAGAAATAGTATTGCCAAACTTTAGAAGGCAGAAAATTAATGAAATCAAGAATAAAATTATAAATGAAAAAAATGTGAAAAGCACTCATGAATCTCATGCAACTCATAAAATATATTCATGCTTGAAGAAGGGGAAACTAACGGCTAATTACACATCCTATTACATAATTAGTTAATCAATTAATTAGGTTAACTCTACTGATTGATTATTAAATAATTATTCAATTAATGTTCTTTCAAAAATATGGCCAAAAAGGTAAGACTTTGTAAAGCTGGCACTCAATCCAATAAGCTAAGCCACTACAGAAGCAAACTGATTATTATTATTAGGCCGGCCCTTTGAGTCATGCACGATGGCCCATCTTGATCTCTTATAAGGCATGAGTAGCAGCCTAAATAGGACCGCACAAATCCCCATAAGTTGAGTGAATAGATATATTGTACACGAAATACAACCTATCATTATATAAAAGAAGGGGATGCACACTCACTGTGTCGTAATTATATAAAAAGGAGGGCAGACACAGTCATCATGTCATACATCCCTTATCATGACCAAACAAAAGGGGGCAGCTTTAGGGCAAAAAGAGAGACAATGCTTCAAAGAATGTTTCCTCCACTACGTGAATGAAAAAATATTGGAAGAAATATGTTGAAATATTCACTGAAAAATGGATGAAAGTGATAAAGCTATGAACCCCACCTCATTTCAAGAGACAAAAGGCTCTTGTTTTGTGAGTCCCGGCGCCTCATTTCAGACCTATAGGAGGAAAAAGATTAAGGGGATATTCATTGGAGGAAATGTGAGGTGCATTTATAGTGGGATTAGGGCTTATTTTACGGGAGAAAGTTTGATGTGGGAAGGATTATGTGAAGAATTTTTCAGAAATAGTTTTTTCTTAGGTGATTTTGGATTCCTAGTTGCTTCTAGGAAATTGGGGGAGAGCCGATTCACCTATTAAATAGAGAATCAATTGTATATTGTGTTTCTTTGATTGAAGATTGTTATTTCAGCTTTATTAGTGATGTTCCTGCATGTCATTGTTGTTCTCTCTTGATTTTGGTGGTTGTCTTTTGTTGGTTGGTGCAAATTTTGCTCTAGTGATTGTTTTGGGTTCTGATTTGATCTCCAAAACATATCAAATTGATATCAGAGCAAGTTTTTGAGACCGATAGCTAGGAAGAGTTGAGGCATTGGAAGAAAAGTTGGAGGGGAAAGTAGGGCAGCTGCGAACGAATGTGGGATCGTTGAACGATGATGAAGCAGATGTTGGAGTTTCAAACTAAAGCCGCTTCACCGGAAACAAGGGGGAATCAGGGAAATGACATGCCAAGGAGAGACAGAGAGGTGAAATTTTAGGAGAGAATGAGGGAATATCCCACCTTGAGCCTCTATTGAGAAGGGGGATGGATAGGGAATATAGAGGTAGGAGGGAATGAGAAAAAGAGAACAGACGGGCTGAATTTGAAGGAAGAGAGGGATATGAAAGGAGAAGGGAGGAGAGGGAACAATGGAGAGACCCCAATGCTCGCTTCATGGGAGGCATGCAGGGCTAAAAAGGAAATTGGGGAAGTGATGGGGACATCAGATCATCATGGAAAGTTTATCAGAGACGTGGCCGCCGATCTACGGCCACGATCGAGTCTTTATATTTTTGTGTCATTAGTGTATTTTATTATTCATGTATTTTGTTATTTGCTTAGGTGCGTTTTATTATTTCCTGTTGTACCCCTCTTATGGGAGTTGTCGTATGTAAGCCCAAAGGGCATTTGCGTCTTTTGTTTTGAGTCATTTGTATGAGGCTATTTAAAGCCCCACTTTGTTCTATTTTGATTAATGAATGATTGCTTATGAATTTTCTTGTTTGATAAGTTTGAGAAAGCTTTAGTGTGCTCATGGAGAGAGATCCCTAGGAGAGTGAGGATCACGCAATACCCACCAATCTAGATAAGTTGGGTTCGTGGTTTCGTTCTTTATTTTCTTTTCTCTTTATTCCCCCCACCAATCCTCACATAATCGCCGAACCTCCATTGCTCCGAACCCCTTTCCCCATCCACCTCATATCCCCGACCAAAATCCCTACCCAACTCCCCCATACCGCCGGCCCAACACCTAGCCACCGCCGCCCTCCCACTTATGTTTCCCATTGAAACCCTTGCCTAATTTGGGTGAATTAACTTTGGGAAGATTTTCAAAATTTCAAATTCAACAAATTTGAAATTTGAATTCTTTCCTAATTTATCATCCTATTTATGGAAAGTTATTAAATCAATTTTTATTTGAATTTCAAATTCAAAGAGGATTTAATTATTTTTTTCCTAAATCTCAATCCCAAATTAAGTAGCCACAATTGAGTGCATTAAATCCATATTTCCCTCTATGGATGCCGCCGGCCCCCTTCCCCTCTATCTTGGCTTTAATTAATAATTATTGCCTATTCTCCCCATATTGCTTTTAGAAATTATATTCAAATCCCTTTACGTTGTCTCTAACAAATTTTTGCTGAGCCTTATTTCCTAATCTAATTCCCAAATCAACTCATTGATTTAGGAATAGAAAATCCCTCAAATTTCCCCTCTATCCCGCCGCTCTCCCTGTTCCTCTCTCCTCACCCGACCACCTCTCCCTCTCAAATTCCATCTCCCCCACTTCAACACCTTGCTGGACTGAAAGCTTGACTTCTCCTCCCAATTCCCTTTGCTCCTAAGCCAAGATTTTTGGGATTTCTCTCAGAATTTGGCTCCAAAATCTGAAGTCAGTTTAGAGTTTTGATAAGGGAATTTAAGAGTTATTCTTTCTTCGCTTGCAAGAAAAATTCCTTTCTCTTCGACAACCTTCAAGAACACTAGCAAGACAATAGGAGATTTGGTCTCAAGCATACATGAATGGCGGATCCGGAAACTAATTACGGCATAACTTGGGACGAAGACAGCTACGTAGACATCCTACAATCTACTTTCTTCGACGTAAACCCAAGAGTTGATTTCACCGTCGAGGATTACTTAGAGCGCACGTTGATCTATTTGGTAGAGGCTATCGACGAACACTTCGAAGGCATTGAGTGGAGGATCTCCACCTCTCCCTAACGAAGGTTTCTCTTTCCCCTTGCGTCTTATTTCTTTTATTCTAAATTCTTGTTGGTTTGATTGCAGTCACGACGGACTCTTTCAACTGCTCTTGCTTAAGCTTAGTAATCGTAGGATTTGAGCGCACTTTCAATGCATCCTAATTCTCATTGTTAGATTATGGATTAATTTGAAAACTACTACTTGGTATTGTATTATTTTTCTTATTTGTCTTGAAAGTTTCAAAACTTGTAACATGTGATTTAGCCTAAGAAGATAACTCCTTATTTGTTTTGATTCTTCATTTTAAAATTGCTATTAATTTTATTCTAATATTATTCTAATCACGAGTTGTGCAATGACTAAATGATTCCATAATCATCTCATCTAAGTAGTCCTGCATCAGGAAGGGAAGATTCGAAGGTCAGGAAGCTGGAAATGCCGGTGCTTGAAGACGAGGATGCGCATGGGTGGATCTATAGAGTAGAGAGATATTTTGTGGTGAATGGGTTGGCGGAAATGGAGAGGCTTATAGAGGCGGCTCTATGCCTCGAGGGTAAGGCACTAGCATGGTACCAATGGAGGGAGATGAGGTACATGATCCCTTTATGGGAGAAGTTCATTGAACATTTATTGGAGCGCTTTTGAACCAAGCAGGAGGGGGACTATTATGAGCAGGCCTTTGCTTTGACACATGTGGGAATGATGATGGAGTACCAGGAAAGATTTGAGCTTATGTCGGGACATTTAGGGAGACTATCAAAGATGGTGTTAGAGAGCAATTTCATGAGGGGACTCAAACCAAAGTTGAGAACCGCTATGCGGGTGACAAGACCCCGTGACTTGGGAGAGGCTATGTAGTTAGCCTAATTGATAGAGAACAAGAATTCACTTGAGAGGAGTATCAAAGGATGTAGTTTTGGAGGTTCTTACCGCACGAAGACCACCTTCCTTACATCTAGGATGCTGACTGCATCGGGTCAAAGAGAAACTCCAAAGGAGAAATGTTTGGGAGCTCGGCCGGGAGGGAACTTTAAAAGGCTCACGGATATGGAGTTATAGGACAAACAAGCTAAGGGGCTATGTTTTAGGTGCAACGAGAAGTTTACACCGGGTCATAGGTGTAAAAATCGCACCTTGCAGATCCTTTTTGTTTGTGATGAGGGGATTGGTGGTGGAGTTTTAGGGAATTCACTAGAGTTGGGAAGTACAGATCTAATCTTTGGTATGAAGTGACTACAAACTTTGGGGGAGATCAAGGTGGAGTGGAAGGCCTTAGCTATGGAGATTCAGGTGAAGGGGAGAAAGGTGGTGATTAAGAGAGACCCTAGTTAATCCAAAGCAATGGTTTCCTTGAAATCCATGGTGCATGCCATACAGGGTAAAGGATTGTGATTGTTGGTGGAGCTTCAGAGTTTAGAGGGAGTAGACGCCCAAGAGATAAAGGACATTCCAAAAATAGTTCAGCCGCTTCTCCAGCAGTTCAGTGAGGTTTTCCAACCTCCCCAAGGATTGCCTCCTCCACGGGAGCACGAGCACGGTATTATTTTAAAGGAAGGAGTCAGTCTCATTAGTGTCGACCATACTGCTAACCACGGGTCTAGAAGGATGAGATTGAGAGGCTGATTCGGGAGATGCTTGAAGCCAAGATCATCAAGCCCAATGTGAGCCCTTTTTCTAGTCCCATGTTGTTGGTGAAAAAGAAGGATGATAATTGGAGATTTTGTGTAGATTATCGTGCCTTAAACAAGGAAACTCTGTTGAACAAGTTTCCCATACCGGTCATTGATGAGCTGCTAGATAAGTTGCATGTTCGGTGGTGTTCTCAAAGATCGATTTGAAGTCCGAGTATCACCATATCAGAATGAGACCAGAAGACACTCACAAGAAGGCTTTCAGAACTCATGAGGAATATTATGAGCTCTTGGTGTTGCCTTTTGGCCTCACTAACGCCCCTACCACATTCCAATCACTCATGAATAGGGTGTTCAAGCCTTATCTTCGAAGGTTTGATATGGTATTCTTTGATGACATCCGTATTTATAGCAAGTTGAAGGTGAAGCATTTAGAGCAATTGGGCAAGGTGTCGAGAACTTTGAAGAAGCACCAACTATATGCCAACTTGAAGCAGAGCTCTTTTGCATAGAAAAGAAAGGAGTATTTGAGACATATAGTGTCTCAAGTCGGCGTGTCAGCAGATACAACCAAGATAGAGGCAATGGTGGAGTGGCCAGTGCCTAAAAGCCAAGGGCTAAGGGGGCTCATGGGACTCACAAGATATTACATGAAATTTGTGAAGGGATACAGCTCTATAGTTTGGCCTTTGACAGAGCAGTTGAAGAAGAATAATTTCAAATGGGGGGAGGCAGCCACTCAGGTATTTGAGCAGTTGAACAAAGTCATAACTAGTGTCCATGTGTTAGCACTACCATATTTCAACCAACCGTTTGTAGTAGAGACTAGGATATGTGTTGGGAGCAGTTCTCATACAAGGGCAGCAACCTATAGCTTATCTCAACCAAGTATTGATTGTTAGGGCCAAACGAAAATCAATATATGAAAGGAAACTGATGGCAATTGCGCTGGCAATTAAGAAGTGGCGACCTTACCTATTGGGGCGGCACTTCATAGTCAGGACCGATCAGAGAAGTTTGAAATTACTGTTGGAGCAGAGGAAGGTGACAAAAGAGCATCAATGGTGGCTTTTCAAGTTATTGGGGTATGACTTTGAGATCCAATACAAGCCCGAATTGCAAAATAAAGCGGCAGATGCTCTCTCCAGACGTAGTGAAGATCCCCAAGTTATGGCTCTATCAGTCCTCATAGTGGTGGATTGGGAGGACTTGAAGCAAGAGAGCGAGTAGAATGAAAAGCTGAGTAAAATCAAAGGAGATTTACAGCAAAACAAGGATTGTTCATCCTGGTTATTCCTTGGGGGGTCAGAAGTTGCTATACCAGGGACAGTTTGTGCTATTAAGGACATCACCACACATCCCTCACTTATTGCAGGAGTTTCATGACACAAGGGGGGGGGGCATTCAGGAATCAAAAGACATATCATCGACTGGCAGCGAAACTATACTAGGTGGGAATGCAGAAGGATGTGGAGAACAGGGTGACCAGTTGTGAAGTATGCCAGAGACAAATACCAGGCTATGGCTCTAGGTGGTCTTTACAACCTTTTGCTTTACACGAGAAGGTGTGAGAAGAGGTGACTATGGACTTAATTGAGGGATTGCTTAAGTTAGAAGGATTCATCGGGATTCTTGTGGTGGTGGACTGATTGGGCAAATATGCTCATTTTATTTCCCTACACCACCCATACATTGCAGTTTTAGTGGCAGTCGCATTCATTAGAGATGTAGTCCATTTGCATGGCATACCCAAGTCCATAGTGTCTAATAGGGGCAATGCCTTTTTGAGACATTTTTGGAGGGATCTATTTAAGATGCAAGGGACTACCCTGAAGCGAAGTACTGCTTATCACCCTCAAATAGATACCAGATAAAGGTGATAAATCACAGTGTAGAGACTTATCTTCATTGCTTTGTCTAGGGATAACCCAAAGATGTTGACCAAATGGCTAGCCTGGGCAGAGTACTGATATAACACTTCATATCATATAGCAGCCCAAACAACACCATTTAAAATTCTATATGAGAGAAATACCCCTCATCTGGTACATTGTGGGCATGGCAACACATTAGTATCGTTAGTGGAGAAATAATTGAGAGAAAAGCAGATGGATTGAAGAGACATCTACTGCGAGCACAACAAATTATGAAGAAGAAAGATTGAAAAAAGGAGGGATGAGCAGTTTGAGATTGGAGATAGTGTTTATCTGAAGATCCAACCTTACAGATAGAGGACTCTAGCCAGACGAAAGAATGAGAAGCTTTCCCCTCGATACTTTCGGTCATATGAGGTCGTAGAGCGAATTGAGACGAGCCATTGGAGACCATACACCCTCGCCCGCACTACCAGCTACACTGTCAAAAAATATGGAGGTAATATTAGAACCACTAGAGGTGCAAGGGGTGCACCAAGGAGTAAAGGGGATCAAGGAAGTGTTAAAGAAGTGGAAAAATTTACCAAAATATAAAGCGACATGGGAAGCCTACAGCACAACTCATCTAGTAGATCATCGATCACCAGAATGGAAAACTTATCCGGCATAGTCTCTTTATTCAAGGCATGGCCACACAAAATATCCAGCTCTCATCCTACTTTTTGACCAGCAAAAATGGGCTAGAAAAAGAACTCACGCTCAGTCTAATGATCCCCGCCTCCAACATCTCTTAGATCAGATTTTCAATCTCATCCTTTTGAATCAAAGGTTAGCATTAAGGTCGGACATTAATCGATGATACCCCCTCTCTCAAGGTGATGGCTTTCACATGCTCCCATGGTGGCAGTAAGCCTTGAGGTGGCTGAAATATCTCCCTGAACTGTTGTTTAAGTGATTGTACTGAAAGCAGAATGCCCCCCTTCTTCCATTCTAATCCCCTCTAAACTTTGCAGCTCTACCAAAAATCCTCCACCCATCTCTTGTATGGCCCTCACCATGGTTTTGAGAGACACCATGGCTTCAGATAGTCATGCATCTCCCCTGATCACCACCCTTCTTCCCTCCACCACCAACTCCATCGTTAGTGCTCCCCAATTTACCTTCGTATCCCCCAAGATTTATAGTCACTTCGTCCCCAGGATAACATCAATGCTCCATAACTCCAATGGAAGGAAATCCTCCCTCATCTGGAACCACTATATAGTCAGTACCACTCCCCTACACACTCCTCTACCCGTCTCCATTTTCCTAGTGCCCATCATCACCCCATAACACCCGGTGTCCATCAATTTCACCCCCAATTGATCTAAGACCTGGTTGAAGATAAAATTGTGGATAGACCCACTATCTATCAGTACCACCACCTCTTTGTTTGTTATTGCTCTCTTCACTTTCATGGTGTGATTCAGAGTAAATCCCACCACTGAGTTCAAGGAGACTTCCGCCATATCAAGATGCAGTTCTTCCTCCCCTTCTTCCAAAGCCACACTCCCACCTCCCTCCTCAACTTCATCATCATCGCAGACGATGGAACCTGAAGAGTTCAGTCCTTACACTTGTGCCCCGGTGTATACTTCTCATCACATCTAAAGCAAACCCACTTAACCCTCTTCTCCTGCAGCTCCTTCGCAATGAGCTTTTTGAAATTTTCCCTGATTCTCTCTTCTACAGGCTTCTCCTTTGGGGCCTCTAGCAGACCACCAAGTGTCATTCCCTTTGTGCTAAAAAAGTGGTGGTCATCTTATACGAGTTTCCCGAGCTGCTGCCCCTGGCCCCCCTTTCCAGATGCTTTTGGTCCTCCACCAACTATGCTAGCTCCATAGCCTCTTCCAAGTCACGAGGCACCATCACTCTAACCGCCGCCCGGAACTCTAGTTTGAGCCCCTTCATAAAGTTCCCCTCCAACACCGTCTCAGAAAGCCAGTCCATTCGGCTACCAACCAAGGTGTGCAAACCTCTTACGGTACTCTACCACAGATCTCTCCTATGTCAGGGCGAAAAACTGCTCATAGAAGTCTCATCTCCTGCTAGTTCGGAAACATTCCAACAAGCAGTCCATGAACTCCCTCCAGCTCCGTATGGGTCGTCTCATGTCTCTCCACTGTTACCAAGCCAAAGCCTTCCCTTCCAGACATAACCAGTTGTCGTCAGCTTCTCCTCCTCTGTCAATCCATTGACAACAAAATAACTCTCTACCTTGTAGATCCACCCGTGTGCATCCTCTCCCTCAAAGATGAGCATCTTAAGCTTCCTCACATTTGGATCGCCTCTATATCCCCTAAATCCTCCATAACCTCCCTTTAAGTCTATTTTGGCTGAAAACTACAGGGCTAACACAACAGTTCAAAAAGGGAAAATAATGATTGACTTGTTGCTTTCAAGGCAAAAAGAGAAGGAAAAAAAAAACATAAAGAAGGTTCGTCTGTGAATCAATCCAGCAATTATCAAAAATCCTCAGTCACGGAAGAGGCAACCATAAATTGTGAAAAAGGTCATTCCTAAACCCTCAAAATTTATCAAGAAAACTCATAATTTTATGAGTAATAGGGGGTATACAAGGCACCAAAGGGCACAACATAATACAATGCATCTTATGAGTTAGATAGGCATTTCTAGATGCATTTATTACTTGAATCCAGCAAGTCATAACTTTATTTGATTTGGCATTTCTAGATGCATTCATTTCTTGAATCCAGTAAGTCATAACTTTATTTGATTGTGGCTTATTTAACAGAACTTAATCTTACTGTTTAGACAAATAAATGAAGATTTCCACACGTATATTGTGTAAGATATATGGGTTATAAATAGATGCAGAGAGGACAGTCAAGATGCACCTACCGTACACTGCAGATCACTGAATCTTAAAAATCAAATACTGTTTACAATGGTTGAACCATTCTTTGGAGAAACTTTTAAGATAAAACATTTTAAAAAAATCGAAAGACTCAACAATAAAAAAAGCAATTGAAAAGTCAACTTCAGAAAGATAAGAGGCGTCAGACTTGAAGATTGAAATTAAAGGGCCCAAGGCAAAAAGGAAAAAATCACCTCGGCTATCAAATGACTCAGGCAAAACAAGTACAGCTGAATAGAAGCTTCTATCAACTGGAAGTATATGCAACTTATCCACCAATATCCAATCCCAAATCACATATAGATCGGTAATCACCTGCAATAAATAAGAAGCCATACGTTTTATAGAAAAGAAACATTCAATTTGATCAGAAGATAAACTACATACGTTGACTACTATCTGATAGTAAAACAATCGTTCAATGCATCAAGACCTGCTGTAAAGGGTAATCCTGAGAAATGTTAAAATGGCCACGACGAATAGGACGACTTAAGCAGTATGGTTCGCACGGTGAAATTCTTAGGGCTTCATCTCCAAAAATAGACTCCTTCAATTTATATTCATCAGAATCAGAGTCTCCACCATCAAAAGATTTGGATGCTTCTGAGGAATGCAAGTTAGTAGCCTTGCCATCTAAACAATTTTGAAGAATATACCAGCAGTTTCAAGATCATTACATGAAGAAAAAGTAGAAAGACTATATTTTTGGATTAAGAACTAAAGCCAACAACATAAAAATAGATAGCATATATCATGGCCATTGGCATGTTGTTACTTGATAATAATCATGCTTTGTTAAGGGTGAAAAAAATATCCAAATCTATGAATGATTAATAACCTTAAAAATTTAAAAGTATATATAAACAAGACGAATAACATGTAATGAAAGTAGGTACTAGAAGAGTTAAAAAAAGTACAAAAATAAGGTTTCAATAAGATCCCTACCATTCATATTATGCATTATTTGACTAATACATGATTTGGTCTGATAAATTCTAGCGCAGCTAATGAGGAGCTTATGGCCTACATATTCAATAGAAAATCAACGAATATGAAAACAGGAAATGCCTTAAACTTGCTTTCTTACGTCATTTTCCTTTTCTTACGTCATTTTCCTTTGTTTTTTAAGAAGGGTGTGGGGGGTATTGTGTTGATTTTATACTAGAATGCTACAGATCAAAATTCTGAAGATTTAAATCAAGCGGTTCAGTCTCATCGAAATTCATTAATTCTCTTTGGACGGAGGTAACCATGTTGCAATTACCTCTGAGTAGTCAAATTTCCTGTGAATTTTGACAGTTCATTTGCCTAATTACCAACAAAAATGTTCTTACAAGCATAATAACAATAGGGAATAATCTGGTGATCTTATGCACCGTCTCAAATCAACTGAAAGTTTTTTTATGATCAGATATTTCCCCAAGTTCATAATAATTCTTAATTATAAATGGCATGAGGTACTCAAGTCATTGAAACAATGAAAAGAATTTTTAGTTCCCATAGCATCGTATCTTTCGGCAGCTTGGTTATGGTATAGTTCTTAAAAGAACATCATAAGGCTATCGAACAAAGGCAACACTCCAACAAACTGGCATTTCTCACTACACTATAAAATTTAATTTTGGACAAAAAACAACAACAAAATCAAGCCTTTATCCCACTATGTGCTACATAAATTTATTTTCTATATTGTGTCCTGTTAAGAGTTAAATTCTCATTTAAATCTAACAAAGAAAGGTCATTTCTAACATTTTCTAACTAAGTCTTTTTAGGTTTATCTCTACCTTTTTTAACATAAGTCAAATCTAATACATCTACTTTCCTAATCAGATCATCAGAAAGCCGCCGTTTTATGTGACCAAACCATCTAAGGCAAATCTCTCTAATCTTATCTTCCACTAGAGCTACTCCAACCCTTTACGTATATGCTCATTTCGTATCATGTCTCTAAGAGTAAAGCCACTCATCAACCTGAGCACCTCATCTCTGCAACACTTAACTTAATATTATGCTTCTCTTTTAATGGCCAACATTCTGCACCATAAAACATTGCAGGTCCAACCACCATCTTATAGAATTTTCTCTTAAGTCGAGGATGACTTTTCTACCACACAACAAACCCGATGCATTCCTCTACTTCAACCATCCAACTTGAATTTTACTAATAATATCTTCATCTATTTCCACTCTGAAAAATAGACCCAATATATCGAAAATGTGTACTCTTATTAATGAGTTGATCACCCAAAGTCACAATCCCCCACTAGATCTATTATTACTAAAATTACACTCCATATATTATATTTTAGATCTACTCAAATGAGAACCTTTAGACTCTAAGGTTGACCTCCACAATTCAAGTTTACCTTCAACTCCCTCTCTAGTCTTATCAACAAGAAGAATATCATCACCAAAAAGCATACATCAAGGTACAACAAATAAAAGTTTTATTTTGGAAATCATAAAAACTAACAATTTGCAAGCATTCAACATATAGATTAAAATACAAATGGGATATTAGCTCAAGAAATACCCTTCATAGCGAATGAGTTGGACTTCTTGTCCATAACTTTTGTCCAGATGATAGGAGAATCATTTCGGTATTGATGTGGTGCAAATCCATCTACACGTCCCACCTGCAGGATATTTCATGCAAAAAAAAAAACTTTAATGACTAACAAATTCCTAAGTGTATCTACTTGAGTGACTTTCATATTTGGTTATTGCTGAAAGCGCACTAGGAGACCAACCGCACACAATACTGTAATGCTATAACATAGGAAGAGATGTGATGACAAGGATGGCACAACATTATTTTCATAAACTTCTACTAATCAAGGAATTTTCTGAAATTTTTTTTTTTTCTGTTCCTCAATCTCACTATTAAAAAGTAATCAACATATCACACTAAAACAGTAGCCTACCATTACTTCCTTAAAAGACAAAATATGAAAAGGCTTCCAGAGAAAGGAACCAAGTTAAGTTTGAATTAAAGCTGTTCTTTCAAGGAATTCTAAAAATCTAAAATTCTATACAAATTTAATGCTTGATCCATGGGTTTCAAAAGGCGTATTTAAAGAGGACAACCAATAATATGGTAATCAAACTAACAATTCTTTGAAATGAAGAAATTTACTTAATAAACTTAATGGTTCGAACAAAAAATAACCATATGGTGCTAAATATTTGATACAAGGGAACCACATTTTCTCTAAGAAAAGCTGAGGCGTCTACACAACAACTCATTTCTCTTTCTAAAATGCAGTTTCTAGAAACTAAATTCAAATAAACTTCACTATTTCCTAAGACCTTATTTTCAGCTATATGATATATTCAGCCATAAGTTAAGTTTAAATAGGTATACAATCATTTTTATTTTCTGCAAATTCTCTGCTATCCAACTTGAAGAAATTGTTTAGAGGAAAATTCAAATTTTATTCTATTCCTTAGAATCATTACTTTTATATTGTAGAAGAATAAATAGAAAAAGAAAAGACATTTAATCTAATTAATTATAATAATCATATCCCACGGATCTCCAACTGCAGCCCTCGGATTACTACCCACAGATCTCCAACTGCAACACTCAAATTGCTGCCCATGGGGATATCCAATTGTAGCGCTCGGATTGCTACCCATGGATCTCCAACTGCAACCCTCAGATTGTTGCCCACGAATTGCTAGTGTGGCCTCCCCTTAGCTGCGTGATTCAACACTCCCCCTCAAGTTGGGTTGTATAGGTTGAACAATCCTAACTTGCAAACAAAATTATCAAGTAGAGGGCCTGGTAGTGCCTTTGTTAGAACATCGATAAGTTGCTCATGAGTTGGGGCATATACTACTTCAATCTCTAAGTTCTCTATTTTCTCAGATATAAAGTGTCTATCAATAATAACATGTTTTGTTATGTCGTAATGTACTGGATCTTTGGCCATACTGATTGCGGCTTGATTGTCACATTTCAACATTATTGTGACTTCAATCTTTATTTATAGTTCAATCAATACTTGTCTAATTCAAATAACTCCACAAATAGTAATTGTTAATGCTCTCAGTTCAGATTCTGCACTGCTTCTGGGAACAACAAATTGTTCCTTGCTCCTACATGGTTCCATGTCATTAGGTTCACCCGGACAAATGAATAATATCATGTGGTCGATTGACTGTTAACCTGGCTTCCTACCCAATCTGCATCAGAATAAAGGATTAATTTTCTATCTTCATTTTTCTTGATTAATAGCCCCTTTCAAGGAGTGTTCTTAAGATATCTCAAAATTTGATATACTACCTCCATGTGCTCCTTCATAGGATTATGATAGAAAACAGCCCAAGCTAATGAAAAATACTGTAAACAGCAATTTTTGCCAAAACAATAAGAAAATCAGGGAGAAAGCACTTGAAATATCAATAGTAAAAGGAAAAGAAACAACCAAATACAATGAATCTTCAATTCGAGAGGAAGATTCAACTCTCCAAATCTCTAGCCAAAGACTAGATCCCAAAACCAACACCAAGATCCCAAATTCATATTCAAATTCAAGATGAAAACCTAACCCTAGCAAGAATGAGATTATTTTAAAAAAATGACAATTCATTAATCTCTAAACAACCCCTAATTTGATTTTTTCCTCCTAATCCAAGCCTTCATTATTGTGTGGGTCCCACACATGCTGCCTCCCAAGCCAAGCTCCCCCCCCCCATTTCCGCATTTTGTAGACCTAAACTGATGTATGCAGGGGGGGGTCAACACAAGTTGAATTTTTCTTGTATTTTCTTGCCTTGTGTCTTTTCATCTTCCCCCTCTCCTTTTATGTTATCTGTCCTTTCATCTTCCATTTGTCCTTTGGATTTTTGAAGGACCAGTTCAGCTGACCTAAGGGCCAATCTAACATATTACTCATATATTGGCTTACCATACTCAAAGCTAACCCAATATATGGACGAGTGTTGGAGAGGTATATAAGCTTTCCTACAAGAGTACAAGACATTAATATATTCCTTTATCTACTGGAACTCCTTCCACTTTTATCCCAAGTTTCTTCTTAGGATCCATAGGTGTACTGGCTGGTCTGCATCCCAGCATGCCGGTTTCCTTTAATAGGTCTAAGGTATACTTGCATTGGGAAATAAATATAACTTTGCTTGATCGAGCTACCTCCATACCAAGGAAGTATCTAGGTGATCCTAGATCTAGAACTTCAAACTCCTTAGACAAAGTCTGTTTGATCTTCATTATTTTCTCTATATTATTCTAGTAAGGATAATGTCATCCATATATACAATCAATACTGCTAACTTGTCTATTTCTTACAACATCACAAATAAGGTATGATCTGTCTGCATTGTTTAAAACCATGGCCTTTTACATACTTTGAGAATCTTCCAAACCATGCTCTTGGAGACTGATTTAATTCATACAAGGATTTCAACAATTTACATACTTTCTCACTTCCAAAAGACTTATGAGTCCCCATTGGAATCTCCATGTAGACTTCTTCTTTCAGGTTCTCATTCAAGAATGCATTCTTGATATATAGTTGATATAGGGGCCAATCTAAAATTATTGCTAAGAAAAAAATAATCATGATGATGTTGAGCTTTGCAACAGGAGCAAAAGTTTTCAAATAGTCTATTCCATAAGACTGAGTGAATCCACCTGCAATCAGTCTAGCTTTCAGCCTCTCAAAACTACCATCCACCTTATGCTTTACAGTGAACACCCATTTGCAAGTCATAACTTTCTTTACAGGTGGGAGATTCATAATCGCTCATGTTTGATTTTTTTTCCAAGGCTATAATTTCTTCTTTAACAGTTTGTTTCCATCCTGGGTGATTCAAAGCTTCCTGAATATTGGTCAGAATCGTACACCATTCAACTTGGAAAGGAGGACTTCATAAAGGTCTGATAATCTGCTATAAAAGAGAAAATATTTGATGGTTCATGATTCTTTCTGGCCATTTGACGACTCTATCTCCTTTTGAACTTCCTCGTTTTTTCTCCTCTTTATGAATTTCTATAGTTGTTTGATCCATTGAAGTAGAGTTGACAGGTGCAAGATGTGTCTCATTGCTCGGCAAATGCTGGTTTTTCTTTATTTTTCTTGAGTGTATATATTGTTGTTCCTTAATTGCTTCTCTTTGTAGGGATTAATTGGGACTTATGAGTGGAGGTAATAGGTCTCAAGGTAGACTTTGAGATATAGGAGATATACCTTGGGAAAAACTCGTGGTTTGAATTTCTTGTTATTTTTATTGATTTTGACTTAACTCTGTTTGATTGTATAATAAGGAATTCCACTCCCGAGTTTGAAATTCTCCTTCACTCTCCCCTTGATTTCAAAACTAGTGAAGTATGGGTTGTTTTCAAAGAAGGTAACATCTATGGTTTCAAATACCTCCCTAGAAATAGGGCAAAAGCATTTGTAACATCTTTTTGTGTGGAATAGTCAATAAAGATACTTTTTTTATCTTGGTCAAGCTTGCTTCTATCTTGTGGATAGATATGAACAAAGGCAGAGCACCCAAAAACTTTAGGTGGAAGGTTTGATGATATGAACCGAGCATCAAAATAGGCTTTGAGTAGAGTTTGTCTAGGTGTTTCAAATTTAGTATCCGAGTAGGTAACCTATTTATTAGGTATGCAACAGTAAGAATGGCTCCCCCCCCCAAATAATTATTTTGGTACTTTTATGAATAGAATAATAGATCTAGCGACTTCCATAAGTTGCCTATTTTTTCTCTCAGCTACCTCATTTTTTTGAGGCGTATACGCACATGAACTCACTTGAATTATCTATTGGCTTGATAGGTATTCTCTCATGATAGAATAAAAGTATACTCTCCCATTGTCTGATTTTAATATTTGAATTTTTATATCAAACTGGTTTTGAATCATCAGTTGAAATGATTTGAATATCCTTTCAACTTCAAATTTTTTCTTCATTAAATAAACCCAAGTGAGTCCAGTATGATCATCAACAAATATCACAAACCACCTTGCTCCACTTATATTTTTAACCCTTGAGGGTCCCAAAATATCACTATGGATCAAGGCAAAGGGTTTAAAAGATTGATAAGGAACAATTGGGTAAGACGGACTGATATGTTTAGCCAATTGGGAAGTTTCACATTTGAACAAACTTGAATTTTTATTAATAAATCAATAGGGAACAAGCTTTTCAAGATACATGAAATTTGGATGACCTAACCTATAATACCACATGAGAATCTCTCTATCTTGACTGACTCTAGAATGACTCTCAACAAACTGACTTACAATAGGATGATTCTTAATAGGAAAATTCTTAGGAGCAACAATCAAGGTTTGTATGGATTTGGGTGTCATGATGTAATATAACCCAAAACACATCTCAGCACTACTAATCTTCTTCTCCGTAATCCAGTTCCTGAAAAATTCATACATTATTGAAAAAATTTGTTAAGCAATTACTATCACAAGTCAATTTACTAATGAAAATTAGATTGCACTCAAGATTGGGCACATAAAACACCAATTTAAGGGTGATAGCTTCTATGACAAAAGCATAACCAGTCCCCAAAACTTTGGATGTTAAGCCATCAACAATCTTAACTACTCGATTTAATTGATAAGGTTGATAGTCATGAATGAGTGTAATATCTCCTATCATATGATCTGATGCTCTTGAGTCAATAACCCAAAATTTTGATTGTTTTATACCTGAGCGAGCGTGCAAAAATAACCCACTTAAGGTTTCTAATAGATCTTATTTGGTAAAAACAACCTTTAAATAGCGAGTATGAAGAATAATTCACCTGAATGAAGCTTAGCCAAGAGTATTTCTATTTTGACGAATATTGCAATGAAATAGTTAACTGGGTTGAGCAAAAGTTCATATTTAACAGAATTATATATATTCATAATCAAAAATTTTATGCTCAGAGCTTGTTTTACATTGTCCAAGTCGAAACAGCTATGATAAGACTAATGACTTGAAGTCATTTTTTTAAACCAGTCTGATTTCCTTAAGATTCTAGAATAAGTTTAACAATCTTACTAGTTACCAGTTAGGATACGCCTCATGTTCTACCTCAAGTGGTGAAATATAATTTTCCTGATGCGTGAAAGAATTGCTAGGCTAAAGGCCTCTAGCAGGTTTTAACATAAAAGGCAGTAATCAAGAGAGAATATTCGTAAGCATCATCTTAAATAGTGACTAGTAAGACAAACCTTACGGGGGAAAGAGTTGTTTGTAGCTTCTTCATGGAGAAATGGTATCTTCAGCGAAGATGCAATCTGAAATTCAAGGTTCACAGTAATAGCTTGAAGAAAGCAGGAACCACCCCCGCCACCCCCCACCAAAAAAAAAACAGTACCAGCAAGTGTATACAAAGTATAAATTGCCCTTATATACCATATCATAAGCCTTCTCACGTTCCATATTTTGGGCAGGAGTTGCTTGTGTGTTCAGCATCTGAAACAAAAAACAAAAAAACAAAATGGAGGAAAGACAACCAGAATTTCACACTCATGAACAAGTAATATATATTTCAGCCACGACGTGAAATTTCAACATTCATACCTGATCCTGAACTTTTTTTTTGGGGCCAGACTTCACACGTCTTGCAATACAGTGTGGTATATTATAGGGCACATTTTGATGAGCAAAGCCGATTCTAACATTGGCAGATCCTTTAAAAAATAGAAAACAGAAATAAACTCTAGAGGCATGTATAGCAGTGGAGAAAGCTCCCAACAAATCTACAATCGTCCAAAATATCTCCTAGAAGGTATAAATTTCTGTCTCTGTTGCTTCTATATGGTTCCAAGGGTTTTAAGCTAGGTTATGGGTTTGATACCTGGATTGATGACTACCAGATTGGAACCGCGCTCTGCAATGAGCTGAGAAGGAACGACGCTCTTGAGGTAATCCTTCATAAAAAGAAGAAGACAGATAGGTTATCTATTCAGCACATTGAGTGGAAACAATGGATGAAAAAAAAAAACAAGAGGTTTTTGGAATGTCCGGCAAGAGAAAGAAGAACGGGAGGTAACAGAGAGGTTGCGATTCACCATTGCTTTGGTGGAACGAAGCGCGAGAAAGCTGGTGGGCGATCGCGAAAACCTCTGCCGCTCCCAAGCTTGGCGCGTCTCGGCCTTCCGGATCGTTTTTAATTGTCGTCCCAATAAACTTTTAAGGGGCTGTTTGGTATGGGATTTGATTTAATTTTAATGCTATCTAATAAACCTGTAAATTCGGATTTAATAAATTTAATAAATTTTGAAATGAATCAAATAGTGTTTTTAAAATATATTTAGTGTCCCGCTAGTAAGCTAGTATTGAGGCGCTACCACCTAACATTGTGGTGCTAGTTCAAGATCTTAAATTTCAAAACTGGTAACACTGCAATGTCAGTATTTGACGTCTAATACTGTAACAACACTGAGACGCTCAGACACCTAACATTGGATGCTTAAATAATGACATATTTTATATATATATCTTATTTCTTTTTTAAAAAAATTTCAAATTTTTATTATTTTTTCTCTCCCCTCTTCAAGTGTAAATACCCCCTCACAAGGAGAAGAAATGTATCTCTCCTTTTCTTGTAAACTTCTTTTTTTTTTCTCTTAAGAGAGGCTTTTTACTCTCTTATATAGGCGGTGCATAAATCCTCCAGTGCAGGCTCTAATAAAATATTATTATGGATAAGTAGTGTGTATCTCTCTTGCAAGCTCAAGTACCCCTCCACCAAGAGTAATGAATCATCCTTCAAATACAAAGCTATACATAAATAGCTACCTCTCAATTTCTTTTTATAGATTTTGGTTTTGTCTCCTAGAAGACAATGTTTGTAAGTATTGAAAAAGTATTCTCCCTTTATAAGCTCTACTAATTTCTCTATTATGTATACCAAACCATCTTATGGGTGAAATTGTAAATGATATGCGAAGTTTTTAATCTTTGTGGTGGAGCTCTGATCTTCCTTTTGAAAGGAGTTTGACTGTCAATTTGGAAAGGTTTTATTCCAAAAGGAGTTTTCACCCCTATTTTAAAGCTTTAATTTTCTCTCTAAGAGGGAGTTAATTATTATCAACATTTGATACAACTCATGCCAGAGTTTATAGTTGATGCAATAATGATAATGTGATGATGATGTCGAAGAAAGTATTATAATTCATGGAGTTTGAACTTCAGCTTCCTATCAATGTTTGGTGTTAAAATCGATGCTTCCACATATCAGTGTTGACATTAAAGCTATATAAATCATATATTGCAAATGAAATAAAATTGTATCTCCTAGCTTCACATTTTAAGAGGAAAGAGACAAGAGTTTGAAAATTAATATGTTGTAGGAGATTATATGTTGGCATCATGTAAATATAGTTATTGTATTTAGCTTTAAAATGTATATATTTTCATGTACAAATTTAATTAATTTTCATAATCAATTTGTTGCCATGATAAATTATATTTATCTTCATAAGAGTAATTTATATTTATGAGAACTCGTCCTCCAAATGAAATTGAGTTTTTTGGTTGTCTTTGAGATGTAGTTAAATTCTTTAAATTTTATTAGAATATATGGCCCCTAGTTGAAACACAATAATCTTGTTCTCTTAGTTGATAAAGATCTTCTAAGGCTTATTCATTCTGAGATTTTTTGTTTGATGACCACAATATATTGTAGCTTCTTAAACTTTTTAGCCTTCTAAATTTTTTGGAAAATTGAAGAAACGTATATCTTCAAAGGCTTTTAGCATTTTGAGATTTTTGAAGAACCTAAGAGCCTTATACCTTCTCAGGCTTGTAGCCTTCTAAGAGATTTTAAGTATCAGAGAATATGTGTCTTTTGAGGCTTTTAGATTTTTAAAGTCTTAAGACAATTGGATAAACATACATTTTCCGAGTCTTTTAGGCATTTGAGATTTTTTTTTTTATGTATATTTATCTTTTTAGACTTACGTTTTTTGAGAGTTTTGGATGATCTTACACTTTCTTAGGCTTATGACTTCTAAGCTTATTGGTGTATTTATAAATTTTGAGTCTTATGTCTTTCGAATGTTTTAGATGATACTATGTCTTATGAGCGTTTACCTTATGAGTTTTTTTTTTTTGAATAATTGAAAACTCTGTCAATCACTTAATTTCATGGAGTCTTTGTTGTGAGTACTCTATCCACTACTAGCTTTCTATAGAGGTTGCCTCATGGGCGTGCCTTCCATGGATTGTGAGTGGTGACCCACTCTACCACTTGCCCTAATGGAGGCTTTAATTTCTTATAAAGGCCACTTTATAGACATGCCTGTTGAAAGTTTTTGTTATATGCAATATTATTTATAGAAAGAAGATTTTATTGATTAAAGATAAACTTTTATATAAATATCCAACAAAGTTTAAGATACAACTTGTCTTAGAAATTTTAAGGAGTTTAACCTTTTTGAGTTGTTTTAGTCATATAATATTTCAGAGTGATGGCACTTCTATTTAATATTCTAAGAATTTTCCCGTTATAACTCTTCTTATCTTCTTTATTTTGAGGTTGGCGATTACATGCTATATTTATAAATAATAATCCAAATGTACTTGACGAGTTAGATGTTTAATATGTTCATTCAATTAAAAATATATTTTTGTTGAATGTCAACTAGAACAATAAAAATCATAACATTAAAATTGATGTCCATCATTCAGAGTATTCAAAGATTTTAGCCATTTGACATGCATCATAATTTAGGATCTCCATCAAGATTTTAATCCTAGGTGTATTTAAAGTAGTGACCTAGGATCATTTAGTAAGAAGGGAAGCTTTTGTCTCTTCATTGCTTATGCTTTTTTTTGCACCATAAGTTAATTAATTTCTTATTGTGAATTATTATGTTGTCTCAAGAATCATTCAATGTTTTCTAATGAGCATAAATGGCCTCATTAGTTGTTATTTGACATTCTACTCAAATAATAAGATCAATGCATGAGTAGATTATCTCGCACATCAACTACGAGCAAAAAAGTTTAAGGCAATGAACAATGGGAGGAGTCTCTGATAATTCTTTAACGAACAATAAACTGCTTGACAAAGAGTCTGATTAGAGTAGCAAAAATATGAATAATTCTATCATAGAGAATATAATCATATGCAAGCTTATTCATTAAGTGTTGTAAAGAAGACATGGTAAAAGAATGCAGTAAAGACATGTTGATTATGCATGTTTATTCTATATTGATCAATTTTTATTCATAAGGATTAGAAGTCCCTTCATATGGATTAGTTATATGCAACTTAAAATTATTAGAAATGGGGCGCTTGAGAATTACATTAATGGTGAAAGTTCACAAAAACTAAGATGAGGGATGAGTTTGTTTTTTTCCAAAATATTTCCTCCTGCTTCAACAAAGTGATTTTGATTTCATTCTTTCATAGAGAGTGAAAGATTATAGATTTATAGAGCAAAATAGGAAGGATAGTTTAACTAGGCATTAATATCTAAGAGAATTTTGCTGATTTCATGCCCCAAGATACAATCATGGGAGAATTTTATATTATATCTTTTTTTTTAATCTACCAAAATGACAAAATTCATTTATTTAATAAATTTAGTGAAAATAATCATATATATCAAAATATTTCACTATATTCATTTTTTATGAATATTTTAATTATATTAACATATTTCTAATCGACAGTGGGAGAGTGAAATTGATAGCATAGATGCCTAATATGAAAATAGGATTAAGCAATAATTTTGGCAATATTATGTGATTTTTATCACATTCCTTCAATATTTTCCTTGAATTTTTTTAAGTCCTCCCACATGCATACATTATTTATTTTATTTTTAATTTGAGAATTTTTTTTGTGCCATAATTTCAAATTTTCTACAATTTCAGTGATTTTGTTTTATTAAATATTGTGGTAAGAAATTTAGTTTTTTGTCTACATCATGCCTTCTTTAATATTTTTTTTTCAAGACAAAACATCAATGTTTGGTTGGGAAAGCCCTCAAAATCAAAATTTTGATGAACCTATTTTTATTTTGTATAGTTTCTAACTTGAAAGACTTCTCATGACCTCCTCAACCATTTAAAAAAAATGATTTTTTTTTATCATTGCTCCCCTAGACTTTAGATATCCTATAAAAAATTTTCAAGATTTTTTTTTGATTTGATGTAATTTTAATAATATTTAAGAGCCATTTGGTTGTCCAACATGCATATAGTGAATGCAGTTTATTTAAAATTTTGGAAATTGTTTGAAATAGTGTAAAATAAGTGCATCTGATTTTTTTTTTTACAAAAAGTGTAATGTAAAGTACAACAATGATGGTGACCAACAATGTTGGTGGCGGCGGCCGACGACCAACGGAAACGACAGGTGGATGCCATGGTGGCTGGCGGGTGGCGAATAATATGAGTGGCAACAATTCGGCGAATAATAACAGTGGCAATAATGATAGAGAATTTTCAATATATGAAATGTTTTACTCCCCTTTACTTGAAGCCAAAACTAAAGAGCCTCAAGTGATCAATAAGGTTTCATTTGGAACGACTTTCTTACTGCTTCTTAAAACAGCTTTTTATAAAAAAAAATTTAATTTTTGTACTATAAAGCTATTTTAAAAAACAATAAAAAAACCGTCCCAAATGAAGCTTAAAATAAACTAAAAGCAATCAAATTAAGTTCTTTTTACATTATCTCAATATAATTGGCCCAAATACCATAAAAAATACACAATTGAACCAAACATTATAGATATTTGAAGAATTACAAATAAATCTTATATATACACAAAGGCTTCATTTGAGACGGCTTCCTCATAATTTTCCAAAGCAGTTTTTTAGTGCAAAAATTTGTAGAACTAAAAAATTTTGTTTAAAAAAACAGTAAGCTTAAATATTATAATTATTTGAATACAATTAAACCAAAAAACTCATAAAATATTAAGCATTCCATAAGTTTATTATAACCTCCACATTATCACATACATAAATCACAAATCTAATAATTGATCATAGCCTAAAATTGTCCAATGAAGATTTACCATTTAGTCCTTTTGAGTTATAAAGAGTGACATATTCTCTTACAGTAATATCTTTGTATTTAGGAAGATTTGTCTCTGATAACAGCTTCTTTATTGGACCATAACGCCTTTCCAATGGATAGAAGTGTGTGGTGAAGAAACAGGCAACAGAAACTCTTGGACCAATCTTGCTTGTTTGTACTCTATGCTCAACACTCTTGAATTTATCATTAGTGATAAGCTATATTATCAAAAATTAATTATATTATTAAGGAAATAAATAAACGATTAAGTATTATTTTATTTAATCAATTTTATTTTAATCCAAAAATTAAGAAAATAAATAAATAAAAATTCCAGTAACTGAAGCATTTATTGGATGATTGTGGTCTCATTTTGGCCAGATTTTTTTATTTTTTTTGCTTTTATTAGAGAGCTATTATGTTTGTGCTTACATTTTTATAAAAATTTTCAAAAATCTTTGTTATGAGAAATAAAGTTTTACGGCAAAATCAATAGGAAATATTTTGCCTAATTGTAAACAAAAATTGTTTTATGCTTTTTTTTTAAAGATATATATTGACATTCTTATCACTAATATGAGGGCAAATTATTATGTGTGGAGTCGTGATGTCGTCTAGAGACCAATAAAAATGCATCACGTCACCCCAAAAGTATACCACGCTCGGTACCACTCAGTACCAAGCGGTACCAGACGGTTCTCCCGTCCGGTGTCCGCACAGAATAATCTCTCTACTATGATAATGAGACTAATATATTCAACTTAAATGTGACCATTTTTTTACCGTGAAAAAATTGGCTAGCTGTGCGGAAACAGGATACAGAACATCGTAAGGAGAACAATTAGAATGCGTCACATCAACAATATCGAGCTGTGGTACTGAGCGGTATCAAGCATTACCGAGTTGCGGTACCGAGCAAGGGGTGAGGTGGTGCATTCTGATTAGTCTCCGGACGACATTAGGAGTCCGCACAGAATAATTAATCCCAAAATTGAGCTAAGTGTCTAAGTCCTGCCCATAAAAAAAAAATAATAATAAAAATAAAAAAAATAAAAAAAAGCTCTTACCTGTAATAGATCACCAATATTAACAACAAAAGCTCCAGAAATGGGAGGGACATCAATCCACTGATTTTGATGAAGAACTTGTAAGCCACCAATGGTATCTTGAAGAAGAATAGTTAGGAAGTCTGGATCTGCATGTTTGCTTGTGCCAAGAGCGAGCTCTGGCTCAGGACAAGGTGGATAATAATGGCTCAAATGAGCCAATCCTTTGCCACATTCCAGATCATTTAAATACTGAGCATCTAGGCCAAGTCCCTCTGATAGTAGTTCAAATAGAAGATGCCCTAATCTCTGGATCTGTCTTGTGTATTCCATAATTATCTCTCTACATGTATAAAATTATTTTATTGGTCAAAGATTGATTATTTAAGCACCACCATGCAAAAAAGATTTGAAATGAACTAAAATTAATTTGAATGTTGATTACCTGCAAGCTTCCGGCAGGTCCTCCGGCTTAGCGGCCGGCTCCGGCGCCATCGCGCAGAAAAGGGTATCCCTCCAATTCGCCACCGGAGATTCGTACAAATCGAAGTTACAATTAAAAAGCACGGTTTTACTCTGATCGCGTGTGTAATATCGCATCTTCACGTTCAAATCCTGCTCGTTAAACCTCCTCACTCCTTCCAGCATCTCGTCCATCACAGCCTGAGGAACCCCATGATTCAACACCTGGAAGAAACCAAACGTCTCTGACGCCCGTCTCACGAGCTCCACCACCCTCTCCCGCCCCGCCGTGTCTTGTAGATCGATGACTGGAATCTCGGGATGGGTAACAGAGGTCGGATCTGGCCCATCATTAGCGTCGGGCAGGCGGTGGAAGAACCGAGGGATTTCGGTAACGCCGGCGTCTACGAGGCCTTTAACGCCGGCTTTTGTGTCGTCGAAGGCCTTTATCTCGCTTTTCCTGTCGTAGGTGGCCATGATGGCTTCCACCGAGGCGGAGAGTGGGGAAGCAAGGTTTCTTTGCGAAATTTCGTCGAGCAGTTAGTGGTTGGTAACATGTCACTTAGCTCGCTGCGTGGCCTTGAAACGAGTGGCTACTGATCCAGGGCAAGCAAGGTAATTATTAGTTTGAAAATCTTATCAATCTTGGGATTCATGTAAAACATTTGGATTAAACGCACTAATTCTTCCATTGCCTTCCAAGTTTTTTACCACTAATTATTTCTTATAGGAGTTTATTAGTTTAAATTTGACGAAATTTAATTTTTTATGCCTCAATAATATATATAGAGAGAGAGATTATTTTTGCTCTTTTATATTCATAAAATGTTTCTTGAAGTTGAAGCCCTTAGAAATTGGTTCAAATTAGTTCAAATATGAACTTTTATCTATCTTCTCTTATCAACAAAAAAAAATCTGAATTTTCCTTCTAAAGTTGGAGAAATTATTTGGTGCGGAGTCTGGACGTAGCACTACAGCTAGACTCCAATCCAAAGGTGACACATTTTTTTCGTTTAATATATTATGTGCAGTTGCGTGACTTCTTTTACTAATGAGCGACCTAACGACTCGGCCCGACTATTTTAGTTGGTGCTCCTTTAAAAAAAAATCACAACTATTTCCCAAAGTTTAGGATTTTCAGCAAATAAAACTTTTCTCCAAAATTGTCTCCAAAATTTTCAGCGAAGAACCAACATAAGAAGAAAATGGAGCCTACTTTTGATGACATTCAAATCTCACAGATATATTAAGAGATAGCTGATGAGAATAATCTTTTTGTGAAGAGAGATCTTGCACTAAACAGAGAACATTTCGAAAGCAAAACCCTAAAAATTTTGCCCGAGCAATTTCAGAATTGAAGGAGACGACGCTTCGGCTCCTTTTTTTTTCAAAATATTTACCTAATGATCTAGCCAAGTTGGGTCGTCGGGTCGCGCATTAGCAAAAAAATTCACATAGCTACAATTGTTGCGTCCTGGAATATTCGCGGCGGTAGAGAAATATATATGGTTTAACGTCTTAGCATTGTACGAAGATCCAGCACACAAGCAGATAAGTGAGGGGGTGAAACATTCATAAGAGACACCAGAGTTTTTACGTGGAAAACCCCTTAAAAGGGGGAAAAACCACGGGGCCTGGCCCAGTTTGAATGAATCCACTAGTATTTGTAGTTGTTACAAATGAGGCTCTTCCTTGGGAGAAGGCCTTGGATTGATGTAACAAATGTACATCATGCAGATTGCATTACATAGTAGGAATTACATATACATGTTTGTCTGGTCGGAAGGACC